TGATCTAAGTTGATAAGAGTTAGTGGCTAACACGAATGTTCAGTGATAGTGAGAACCACAGATGCAGCTAGTAAAGTCTCAGAATAGTATAACAAAACAGTAAGACATTGTGCTGGACTCATGCAAGTTGCCCCAATTACTCAACGCTGTTGCAACCACGATCCCAGTCCAAAAGTTTCTTGGAACATAACAGAATTCACGAATTAGCATGCCAAATATGAGTCCACAGAACATGTAGAACTACAGATGAGGGTGAGTAGGGACCAGAGAAACTGGTAAGAGAACACATGAAGGCAATCAGGAAAAGTGGACCTATGGCTGACGCATTTTCCTTGTTCAATGAAGCTACAATGTTGGAAAATAGCAGACTGGGCAGCGCGACATACATCGTCAGCTGTTGGCTGTGTTAAACAAGGGAAGGAGGAATTTTGCAATGTCATACCTGGGATGCTCCCATAGCCATGGCAGGTGGGAAATAATTCTTTCATGCCAACCAAAACCCAAAGAGGATGGTGAGAAACCTGGTACCTCATCATCAGATGCTAAAGCCATAACAAAAGAAATTCTGAACAGCTTACATTTTCAACAAGGGAATGACGCCAGAATATACAAGAAACCCTGCAGAGTAAGCCATTGCCACATGAACTCTCAACAACAGGCTCCTTATAAGTAGGCCATCTCTGTGACTTTTGATCCAGAACTCTGAAGACTGGGAGTCTAAGAGCATATGAGATCACAGCCATGGCCAGGACCACCAGTCCCGGTTACGTGGTCAGAATAAAGGAACATTTCCCCGGTGGTGAGACAACTCCACAGAATAGCTTCAAACGGTTTCATTTTGGATCACAACAGTAGCTTGAGTGCTTGAGTCTGAGATCTCCACAAGAGGTAGCAAAGAATGAAACGGAGAGATAGTGATGAAATAATAATCATCCGCTCAAGTCTTCTTGGGATAGAGTGCTGCTAAGTTGTTAATTACTGGGCACCTGGTGGGGCTAAGGAAGAAACCAACAGTGTTAGTCGACAGTGGACTTAGGATCCTTGGCTAGGCATCTAAGAAGCTAGTACATACCACTGCTGCCTGTACCAAGACTACAAGTGGGGGTTGCAGTGCCATACTTCATATCCTGGTCAGCTTATCTTCCAACAAGATCCAATCCGCGGTTCATAAGAATCAGTATTCCCATGCTAACTTTGGATCTTGAAAGTGATCGATCTCAGTACGACAGGTAATAAGCTAGCGTGTAGATGCTCACTATCATACCCGTCTCCCTTCTGAGTCTAGCACATTAAACCAACTATGAAGACTTATTAAAGACAGGCAAAGATTCTACTAGAGCATGTAGGTGCCGAAGACTAGTATCCATGTTAGAATATAGCATATCCATCATTAAAAGAGCGCACCTTCTCGTAATGGTCTGGCATGGATGTTGGGAAAAAATAAGTGCATTCAGTGCATCCAAACCGACTAGTTATCGGATACGACCACAAAAAAAGACGCCTATATGTACCCTAGAACTGCAATGCCAGGCATCCGGCGTTTCATACCGAACACAACGTTTCCGTTGATACATCACTTAAATTTTGGCGCAATGATGACAAGAAGAAGTTCAAGCATGATGGGCGGCGCTTGCACATGCACAAGAATCCGGTCCGCGGACCGGTTTTCCCAGTTGAACTCTTTCGTCCAAGGGGGTTGCAGGCTGTCAGCCTGGCACATCCGGTTGGTCAGTTGGTCAGCCAAAAAGGTCACTAAAAATAATTTTGCCATACCAACCAAAATAGTGTATGGGCATCCCATATTCGATGATAAGTGCCAATTTACGTCCTAAATGACCAAAAGCAGCTCCAGAACCTGAGATATACTGAATTCCATTCTGCCGTCTATCAGCACAGCAATTAGTCAGGTGGGTTCAGTCACAAAGAATATTTTCTTCTGACCATCCACCACTTTTGTGTCAGGTTTTGTCTCCTGGCTTTGCCTACATATAGGCATGAGATGATGGATATATTCAGTATCTGATTGTCAGGGATAAATATTAGGAGCAGCCAGGTCCTGCAGCACTTGACAAAGTACGATGAGGGAAAATATCATGTAGAGACCAAGGTAGAGATGCATCAGTAAGTTGACATCCGTATGGTTCGCATGGTGCCATGTAAACCATGCAAACTATACAGCTATACACGTGCATGGCTGTATAAGGTACCTACGTAATTTTATACACCACGTATAGCACCTTATACACTGCCATGCACAATACACATCCATGCCATATACCACTCTATACCTGCATTTGCTGCACTGGAAATCTGACTCATATCTGTTCATTATGCTTGGTACAGAAAGAATAGCATTGAATATATATCCTACAACATAACATCATAAGTATACTACAGTAACAAGGCACCAGTGACCACTCTCTTCAAGCTTCACTATCCAGCCCGAACATCCTACCAGCAGACCCAGGGTATTGAATGGATCTCACGTGCTCGACACAGAACTGTGAAATATATTAGGTGCCAAACACTGTTAGAAGGAAGACAACTCACCCAAACACAGCGATACACCTTCTGGAACCATATTCAGAAGTGAAAGATATTGCGCATGCTACCAAAACAAAAATGAGGACCAAGAACAGCAGCAGTAGGGCTGCGCACCGTACCGTACACGGTATACGGCCGTAAAGTCGCGGTCTCAGTCGGTTACGGAAACATCCGTATACCGTACCGTCAACTAAAATCTCAAGCTTCATCGGCATCGGTACGGATACCTTACGGCCGTCGACGGCCGTTTACGAACGTACATGTAGACTTAAATATGTATATTCTCATAACCTACTCATTTAAAGCCTTTTTAATAGCACAACGTTCACGACGGAGACGCTGTTTCATAAGCATGAGAACACGAATTGTCTCTGGCTTGAGACTCGCACGTCTAAGGGAGATGGTGTCTCGACCACCAGAGAAGATACGCTCTACGGCAACAGCAGATCCTGTAAATAGAACATCATTAAGAAATAGTCAACCAGAAGCAAAATTTACATACCAGGAATTGATAGAATATCCCGTGCAAGGTTGAACAGGTTCGGAAATTCGCCTCGCTTGTTGAACCACCATTTGACAGGACTGCAGGAACTAAAATCTTCATGTGGAAGGTTAAAGTATGCCGTGAGTTCATCGACAACTGCGGTCTTCTTCCAGTATCTCGAGGTGAAATCAACCTTCTGGGGGGAGCCTTGAGGGTTTAATAAGGCAGCAGTAGGAGGAGTTGGGACGGCAGGTTGATGGGATGAAGGTACTCGCCCAGCATAATGAGAATTGTAGTGATCATACAGATCATGCTTCGTATCCTCGAGGTAGTCTGCCAACAGATGATCGCCCATGTAATCATCGCGCATTCCCTCGTATGAGATCCGTGGATCTAAGACTAAGAAGATATTAGTCAAAGATGCAGCAAACTGGAAACAGAGTACTTACGTGCTGCCCACGTATAGAGAGGGGACTCATCGTACTTGTAGTAATATTCACTCAACTTATTGTGTGCTGCAATGACTCCGTCTCGAAGGCGAGGGGAGATATTGTCAGGGAGAGATCGGAGCACGTCCTTGAGGTGATCCTGGAGCCCACGAAAGATAGCATGTGTTGTAGACAACATTGATACCTTTGTAGTAGACATCTGAGTTGTTGCCGAACGGAATGTCTTGAGCCATCCAGTAACGAGTTCAATGGCATTCCAATCAGCTTCGCTTAACTCAAGATGTCGTAGTTCACGGATGCGAGAGACGTAATTATCAATAATGTCACGGAAGTCTATGGCACGGCCTTGGAGCATATTAATAAATAGTCATGTAGAAACCTAGTGACCACGTACGCATCATTTGATGAGTTGATGACCAGCGGGTTGCGACGTCGAGAATAAGCATAAGAACTTGCTCTGTAGCATCCGTGGTTTCGTTCCGGTGTTCAAGGGCCATTTTAACCTCACGAAGCCAGCCTTGCTTGCGTTGAGGACTGGAACGAACAGCACGAACAATTTGACGAAGCTGATGATTATTAGAGTTGCGTATCTAGTAACAGAACAAATATGCCAGCTCATACCTTGTCAACAGATGAAAAGACATCATCTGACAAGTCACCCATAGAATATGCGAGGTCTCCACCTTCATCTGTCTCACCACCAGATTCGTACTCATCCTGGAGAGCCGCCTCGCTATCATGGCTTCGATCAACAGGCGCCGTAGCTGCATCCTGATAGTTCGAGCTTTGGCCTGTCACTTTTTTCGCAGTCTTCTTTGTGATCACACCGATAGCTTCCAGGAGCTGATGATCGCAAAATATCATTAGAAAAAGGGGCTTTCATGCTCGATCTAGCTTACCTTGATGGCCGCAAGATGAACAGTGTGAGGCATACACCGCAGGCGCGAAAGCTTTTGATCAAATATAATACCTTCCTTTCTACAACGGCACTCAATCCCTTTGATAAGGGTATCATTGTTCGTCGCATTATCCATCATGAAGGCGATAACCTAAAGTTATCCTGAATACCATGAATCAACAAAGGAACGAGAGCCTACCTTATCACGGAGACCATAAAGCGTGAGCGTGTCCCAAACCGCTTCAGCCATATTCTCCCCAGTGTGACTGCCTATTAACTCACGGAAATCAATGAGTAAATCTTCTATAAAATAGTTAGTACCATATCAAAAAACCCGCACGGTACATGCACCATGATTTCCATCATTTGTAACATAATGAGCGACAGTGGCAAGGAATGCAATATTGTTGCTTGAAGTCCACGCGTCAAGGGATATACTGACTTTTCCTTCCAGTTCCTAGTGCCATTGAATACTGGAACATAACTATAACAGAACAGAAAGCGTTACCTCAAACATCTTCCGGGTCTCTTCAATGCTATCCTCACCCATCTTCATAATCCGCCTTCGGATAGCATCTCGGTGCAGGATATGAAGGTCATTAAGTGAATGGTGGTGCGCATACGACAGGAGGTTACGAAACTCAGGCCTATCAACCTCCTCGAAGGGCTGATCACATGCGACGAGCCACTCCGCAAGGAGTCTTTCGAATTTATCCTGGTCCCAATCACCCTACGACGATGGTATTAGCAGCAGGAAGATTGAAAGTAAATAACCAAACCTTAGCATCCATGGATTGCTTCTTAAAAGCGTGGATAATATTCTCTGACTCCGATTCCATCTGCTTGAGATATATCTCAGCCGCCTGTGCATCCAACTTCTTGGAGCCATTTGCGATCTCAATTTCATCTTTGAGAATAGCAGCGTTCGGTGTCTTTTCCAAACGGGCACGTAATGCTAAAAACATGCGGTACATGGGTGCCGAGCATGTCTTCAAATGACCGACAAGCCCTGTTCAAAAAATATGTCAGATCGTCGTCACAGACAAAAGAAGATGCGAGTACCATTCAAGCTTCCTTTCATGGCCTTGGTGATTGTCAGAACTTTGCGGCTACCGTGATAGCACTTGAAGTGCTTATCCCCCTTGTTTCCAGGTTTCCCCTCCGCATTAAGCGAGACTTCTTCATAGAAATAATAAATCGGATTACGCTTCCCAACCTGTGTATATGATGAGTTTGCGAAATGATACATAAATGATGATGTACATACCTTGCGTGTACGCTTCGCAGGCAGTGATGGCTGATCAGATTGGGGTGCAGAGCTAATATCGTCATCCTCGGAATCATCCTCGATGATATAGCGGCGGGCCTTCTTGGTCTTGTCAGAGATACTAGCAGTGTTTTCGTCATCCTCAATCTCTTCCACTGTAACACGCTTCCGCTTGCTCTGCACATTGTCGGGGACAGTCTTCGAGACAAGGATATCGGCAATCTATGACATCGTCAGAATAAAGAATATGAAAGAATATGTATTGGAGACGCACCTCATTGTTTGTGACTTCACGTTCTGAGTCCGACGTATCCGTGCAAGTCTCTGACTCGTCGTCGGTAGCAAAGGCACTGTCACTGGATTCTGATGCTGCGCCATCAGTTGTTTCCTCTGCGAGATGAAGATATTCAGAGTATAATATGTGATCAAGATCGACGGTACTTACTGGGTTTAGCTTGTGTCTTCCGTTTCCCTTTCTTCCTCTTGGTGCGGCGGCATGTCTTCGGTGGGACTGTGAGTTGTCCATGCTCGTCTCGCTTTTCAGCATCCAAGAGCTCCTTCAGACGTCCGCCGGTGTTCAGCCTGCGTGTTCGGCCTGCCAATGCAAACATTCAGTATATAAAGACACACAGAGAGAGATGAACACATACTCTGTCCTTTGGTAGCCACGGTTGGTCCAGCCATTGGTACATCGTCGTCTTTGTCAAAGTAAAAGTCAATTTGCGCTGCAGGTTTCAGCCTTCCATCGGTATCAAGAGCACACTGGTCAGAGGAATTAGACATCGTGAACAAAGGATAGAGAAAACGAATACCTCTCTGTCTTTTATACGCTGGATGGTCGGCCGTACCCCAGGAAGGATCGGAACACCGTCAAAATGTACAAGCGTCAGTAAAATTTCAATAAAATGTCGGCTGTCTCAGTGTAATAAGATGGGCTGGAATGGTTCGTTCATGACATCGGATAGCTGAACCAGAAGACGGCTGGAGAAAGCAAGTGACATTGACCGAGCTGGCGGCTTCTAATAGAGACATGATAGATGAATGAGGTTTAAGAAAATACATCTATATGTAAGGAATATAAAAACGGGACTGTTTGCGACGTGTCAGGAATGTGGCCAAAGGGTTTAGCCTTGTAAAACACACCTTGGTCTTCACTGGTAACAGGACTCCCTCAATGACTTTCTCAGCAGCTGGTGAGTCAAGCCAGATTGGATAGTGTCCAGGAATGGAAAGCCGACAGGTCCTGGCATCCACTGATACTCCTGTGGCAGGGTGGGCGCATAGCAACATGGGCGCTGGAAGTGACGTGTCCCAGCTATTTGCGTCAGATTGCCACATAATGGCATGATTTTTTATGCTGAACAGTAAGCCGTATTACGCCGTTAGACGGCCGTATCCGAGGACCCGTGACGGAGACGGAAGAACCGTATACCGAACCGTATGAACATCAGTTTTGGTGCTCTCGGCTTCGGCCCGTATACCGTATCACGGTTACCGATAGCTGTATTATACGGCTACGGCGCGCAGCCCTAAGCAGCAGCGAGTATGAACCACTCACCTTGTTCCATCAGATCTCTTTCGCAGGCTGTCCCAATACCTTAGCACATGGTGCACACCGCTATTTCCCACGTTCATGGTCTTGATGGCATAAGTATAGCCTTGGCAGTACTGAGGTCATTGTGGAGGGGCAGGAAAAAATAAAGAGATTGCTCGACATATTAGAGTAGTCTGAGGTCCTGTGAAGGGTTTCCAATGGTAGGATATGAATAACGTTTAAGAAAATACGTACCAGAAGGAGGACAGAAGTCTGAGCCGGCATGTCAAAGATGAGGGAGGGAAGGAAAAGACAAGAAGTCAGAGGATCCATTGTGACCGAAGTTCAACATGCACGTGATGCGATGATGTGATTGTGCTCGGACCTCATGCTATTTTGGGATTGTGAAGCGAAATACTTATGTGAGATCTCCTGCTGACTGCCAGGGCCAACACGATGTCAATTCCAGTGTCTGCAGGGATTGAATCAACCTCAAACATTCAGGAAAAAAATCTCCATGTCAACACCACTCCACCATACCACATCTGTATAGGTGCATGATCACTATAATGATATTTTGTGTGCATGGCTATGCATGGCATGACATGGCTCAAAATCTCATATACCTGTCATGCCTCCCATGCTCACCACACGGATGTGAACTTACTGATGTGCACAAAAAGACAACGGCCATAAAATTTCAAGTGATATATAAGCTGTATTAGTCACAGGACATATCCTTTATGGGTATGTTATTCCCATGCGGTCGGTCGGTCGGTCGGTCGGTCGGTCGGTCGGTGGAGGGCTTAAAAATAATATCGACCCGATATGATTTTCTTAACTTTTACTACCCCCTTGCTTTCGTCCACGACGCTGGACTCTTCTACCGCAGCACCGGGCCTGGAAATTAGACGGACTCTTAAGAGCTCCATGAGGAGCTCAAGAGTAGCAGTGGAAGCCAAGGGTCGGCAGGGAAAGGAAGCACTACCATGTAAGTAGTCATAAAGTTTCCGTCGATAGTAATCCACGATGAGATTATCCTTTATATCATCATCCTGCTGGCAAAAATATCAAGATATACAGCACTGTTCTTGTCGAATTCCTGACGTATTACCGCTTCGCGCATGAATCCCATCACAGGCTACTCAATGCGAATACGTATGACCATACGGGGTGACCGTTCAAACCATTGTTCTTCCACTTCTCGAATGCCGTCCATCCGCAAAGATAAATCAACTGTAATAGCCGGTATGAAGGTGCTGCGGGGTTTGCTAAGTTATGCTATGAATCAGAGGAAAACTTCTTTCTCTACCCTTTCGTACACATCTATTATCATACGATTCAGCAAAGGCAATTTACTTGTGAAATAAAACCCTGAACTTCACCTTCGAGTATGATGGATATATCTAACCCTTCCAGTTTTAAAGTTTTAAGACGATCGATGTGGGACAGAGCTATGAGATTTCTCGTGGATCGTCCACCTTCATCCTCCGCCGTTTCATCGTCATAATTACTTTCAATGCCAGCTTTGAAGTACCTGAGGATAACCCGACGCAATCCAGATCCCGAGGGATTATTCCAACGGCTGTCGATCAGTGTGACGAGTGTTGCATCCATAGTCTGGAAATCACCCGGGAAGAATGCATACATCTTCAAATCCAAAACGGCCAAGTTTGGAAGCAACATATCCGATCCTGTGGATCCGACCGAAGCGAGGCATCTGAAGAATTCCTCCTCTTCTCTTCTATATGCCACCGTATCCACCATGAACAACACAAGTTTACTGAAGCTATGCAGAGATGAGAAAACCTGAGCAGGGATCGAAAGCACTCTCGACATGTTTTGAGCTTCGAGCGACTGTAACTGGCATCCAGAGTAGGCAATAAATTGAGAGAATGATGCCGCAGGGAAATCATAATCGTAACTTGAAAATGATATGTGCTCCAGCAAGGGACATATAAGAAAGGGTAGTAGCTTTGAGGAGTTGATGGTAAGCGAACGCAGTTTCGGTAGAGTCAACGGGCTGGGGAATCCGGAGTTGTTCGCAAGTTTGAAGTCGGTACCTTCCTCCAAAACCTCGACATTAAGAATTGGCGAAGAATATGGATGCTTAATATCAGGTCTCTCGCCCCTAACGATGTTGTCAAGTGTGTGATCTGCGGCGACTGACCCAAGGAAGTGTTATGGTGGTAGTCATACTCAAACAGATGGAATGTGAGGGATTTTAGGTTAGGTGCCGCATCGTTAAATACTTTTAAGGTAGTAGCCATGTTGTCGTACGGTACCGAGCCTAGATCAAGTGATATCAAGGACGGTAAATGAAGTGGAGGACCATTCGTCCAGAAAGAAGGGTCTCCCAAAGGTTCGTCCAGACGGACGGCTTCCCATCGCAATGAGTGGCGAACCAAGTTCTGGATGATAGGTCTAGGCATCCTGCTCGGCACCCTCAACTCCAGAGATAACTTGTTTTGAAGACTTCGCTCGAGTGCTTCGCCTAATAACTTGATTCCGATACCTTTGTTCCATCTTGAGTTCCATGTGAGGTTTAAAGATAACCACAATTTGGGGGAACTCCAAGGTCATGCCATCGTCGACAAACTCCCCCTATCACTCGGGGCTCGCAATTGCAAGATCCAAAGACTCTATACGGGCTCGTGCACGAGAAGAGGAATATTTCGTTCAGAATTTCTGGAGGAAGAGCGTGGACGGGCGGATTAAGTGACACATGGGCGTTGATGAATTTGCGGACCTTGTTACGTTGAGATTCGGCCTCTTTTACAGTTGAAACCAAATCGTGAATGATGGAGTCGTATTGGGACAGCTCCATACGCGGTTCGTTAATAAGAGAATTTATGGATTGTTTGAGTGATTCTGGAGAGTTTGGAGGTATGACAGATCCTATCAGGGCTTTATAGGGGGAAGGTCTACCGGCGATCCCGCCACTTTTCAATAAGCGCAGATGGCAGGGAGAATAAGGAGATGACGTTTGAGCCATAGTGCATAAGATCAAGGATGTATACTGCTTAGATATGCTGACTGAGTAGATTTGTCTTCTGTAAGGAGACTCACCAACTGCTGTCGGCCGTTAACTGGTTTGTGTGGGTTGAAGCCAAAGTGTCGCTTGTTTTGCCTACTAGTAACTCGTAGGCGGTGTTGTTCATTTATAAGGCTATAAAGGTGGGGAATAATGCACCAAATATGAAGGATTAACGGTCGTCAGGGCCTGTAACGTCGAGGTTTGAACAGAGTTTCAGATGCATTACACAGCCACCGGTGGCAATAACTGAGCGGGCTTCAGTTCTACATCCTTGTTTAAGTCGACAAAAAGATTCTATCATCCCGGTGCTACACAAAGAGAACTATAATACAGTCGCATTAGTACATACACCTGCATTGATAATGAGAAATACGGTAAAACGCGAGTGACCTTCAGCTATAAGACTTGTCAAGGTTGTCCATTAGTTCCGGGCGTCATGTTGGAAACATACGCGTCCCACTCAGAGAAACTAGGGATCACAATATATCAACAAACTTCAACAAATGTTAACTAAGGAGGGATATCCTACCCGAAACCAAGAGGTGCGGCGTTCCACATATTGATGGCGTTGTTCCCCAGCCCTCCCGATAACTCCGAATCCATACTGAGAAATGGCGGTTGGGGAGAACTTTGAAACGCAGGATACGCTCCATTTGTCCAGCCTAAGGGAATACCAGTGCCGAGTTGGGTTGCCATGTAATCGCCAGAGTACATTTGCTCAACTAAAAGATAAGAATTCATCAATACGTATTTAAGACCGGGGGGCAAAGGTTTGTCTACCAAAGGGTTGAACTCCTTGAAGAAGAGTAGTGCGTGGCACAGTGTCGTACGGACCCCGCGGAGGAGCAGTTGGAGAGAGAGTAGCCGTTTCTTGACGGTGTGTTGGGGGAACGGTAGAGTCATCTGGCACCTTTGCGCTCTTCACTGAAGCTATGGCCTTGAAAATATTGCTAAGCGCTTCTCAGTGGACACGCAAATGCAAATCATTGAAGCACTTACAGTGAACGACCAGCTACGTTCCACCTATCGTCGGGCAACATTAATTTCACCTTAGTACGGAAGAGTCTAACACGCACGTATCGGCTGCATCTTCGAAGGTGGCCAGACACAATTCAAATCCTGCCAGGTCCTTTGCATTGGGAGCATGCCCTGCTTGTCTGCCACTCCAGATATTCATAGCGAACACGGCGCCAGAAGTAAAGGCGCCCATCTGCATACAATATAAACCTACGAAAAACGAAGGAAATTTTGACGCATACAATTATGTGAGGAGTGACGGTCTTCATTCTAGTCATGTGAACCTCGAGGATTCGAGTACAAGATCTGGCGGCACTCGTACAGATAGCGAGGGAAGGTATAGATAATGGCGAGTCTGTATGTAGAAAGGGTCGATGTATGAGAATCTGGGCCATATAGTAGATGCTATACAAAGCCGCGGATTGATACAAGAATATTCCATGCTTGCGTTTGGGATCCCAGCGTACTGAAATCGAGTCAACAAGATATCAAACAAGGATTATTGGATACATACAATGATCAGGGATCGAGTCCGCCCACGCATTCATGGATGAATCTATATCAGCAACCAATCGCTGCTCCCATCCTTCGCCTCTTAGGCCCAACACGTCCCGACCTTTCTTGATGGAATATAACGTCCTCACGGCAAAGGACATTATTTCACTTAATTTTATCGAAGCGTTGAAATAGCTAACTATTGACGGCTTGTCTGTCGGTTGATTGAAATGTACTTGGCCATCTGGAGCTATGTCCCAATATTCGTCGTCACATTCGATTGGCGGCTCTAGGTCGAAGCTATTGCGCATCATTTAGAGAAATGTCATACTCATGGAACAACGTACTCCTCTTCTTGTACCAGCGTGGGCCGTCCAATATATAGACTCGTGAGTCTATCGAATACGACTAGTGCCCTATGTGTAATACTGTCAGTGTCTCTTTTGACAACAAAAAAAGCAAGTATACCAAAAGGATCGCTTTTTGAGTTCGTCGTCGACTGTTAACTTGTGACCTTCAGGCTTCCGTCTATGTAGCCCTATTTCTATTGCAGAACGTAACCCAATCCCAATCATTGTCCAGCTGAACTGAGGAACAGAAGTTCCAATCGCGTATATGGCCCCGAGCTGTCAGAGGCTTAGCCTGGTGGCAGCAAAGCAAAAAAAGAGCATACAGCAGCGAACTGGAGTTCATACAGGGAGGCAGGAGTATATATCGCATTTTTGAAGATGCGGACCTGTTCGAAGAATCTCCATCCAGAAGAAAGTCTGGAGCTGGGACTTGCCAATACACGCGGGTCATCAGAATATCGCGAAGCAACTGCCAAGACAAGAAGTAACGCAGCACCGAAATTATAGTCTCGCAAATGCAGCCCTTCTTCAACGTGCTTTTCGAATGTAGGCCGGTGCAGAATAGGAATAATGGGGTTGATTGTTTCGAAAAAAATGGCAACGAGGCTCTGGATGAGGTCACTGTCAGGATATACATAATGAGGAGTTTCGGCATCAGCTGTTGCTCGCTCCCACTGCCGGGGTAAAGGTTCGTAAGTATAGGAGAGATACAGAGAGGAGAGGACCCACAGGTTGCAAATTGAAGTGATCCCGTAACTGCATCATATTATCGCTGCCGGTGAACTTCTTTTTAATAGATAGGGCGCTGGTAAGCAGCGAAAAGGTACTTGATGGTCCAAAATACCTCTGGCCGAAGTGGTTGCCATGATGAAGAGACAAATTTTTCATATTTTCCAGGAGATCTGGATGCGAGAAGTCCTCTTCGGGCTCGGCTACTTCAGATGATTCGCTGGGTTGCCGAGATGTACTTGATTGCGAGTATATTGGCATGTAATCAGGCGAGATCTCTCGTAACGCCACCCCTTCCGGTAGAACGATGTCCGGATTAAGCTATGATGACTGAGGAAACGCCGGAAAGGGAAATAGAAAAGAATCACACCTCTTTTAGCATAGTTTCCAGCTGTTTCACGCGCCGTTCCAAGTTCTGTACATGGCTGTTAACCTCTTCGTTATTTCAAGTAGAAACGAATGGTACGTGACAACGCGCCTCGTGTCAGAATCTTGTCTCTCTGTGTATGAAGCGACAGGAAAAGGTTCTTGGGTATGGCTGCCAAAAATCAGTGTTAAGTTAAGCGTAGATATCAATGAAACCGACAATGGCTTTGGCCCGCGTTTCTGGAAATGATCCTTGACATCGTGAAATCCATCAAAAACTGAAAGCGTACCTTGATTAAATCCGTATGTGTGCAGTCTGCTTCGAACGCAACACAGTTTGAACAACGATTTCCTGGAGCGGTAGCGCTATCGCCTGTACAGAGAAAGTTTCGTAATTTATTAAAGCTAAGAAAAGCTCATAATTATACATTTAACTAGGAGAGATAGATCAGCAACAGAAAAATAGCATTGAGCAGAAACAAAATTATCGCTGGGCTGGCAGTCCGAGATAACCGCTTTAGGCGCGCTTCGCCAACGTCATTAGTGGACGATGCGCAGCAAAAGGTGTGTCGATTCTGCGGAGTGTCCAGCGCCCGACACTGCCGAAACGCGTCGCCATCACGGATTTCGGCACGTATTCGAGTCAAATGTGTATCCACATTGTTGAGCGAACTTACTTTTCTTTCTACGACACCTGTCGCATGCGCCAGCCAATCTCCTCTTCTTAGCAGGTATTGCCTGAGTACTGTCATCGTCGGTCATGGTGGTCTGGAGAGTGAAAGGGGCGGTTCATGTTTGGAGAGACAAAACGTCAATTGAATTTCTGTTACGCATCAATCACGTGAAGTTACGTCACTCCGATCGTCTCACGGGGCCTTGGCATCCTCAGCGGCCCGAGTTCCGATTCCCACCGACGGCTGGCAGCATTCATGAGCATGCCAGGCATTTAATCCTCTTTTTGCTGCGTATGCGCATTATCTTTTCAGCGCAAGTCAGTCATGCAAGGTGGTTTTGAAACTCAGTATGACTGGTCTATCTGTTCAGCTTTCTTTTCTGCTGAATTGTTTAAATTTAGAGCCATTCAACGCGGGACCAGGTTGGGACCAAGCCTTTACAAGAAGGGAGAACCCAGGTCTTGGTATCTCATCTACATATACTTATGCGGTGGGAAGGCAGTGCGAATGGCGATGATTATGAAACGCGCGAGCTACAGCCTATTTAGGGCGTTGCACTGGTCTTCCCCGGAGCATGAGCAGTGCATCCATCGCAGCCCTTATAGCACTCGCATACAGATCCAACATCTCCACAGTTATCCTTCTTCTCTCCTCGTCCCTCCATATTTGAATTGCAGTCATGCGTTGGCATCATTTCCTCTGCTGCTTGCCCCTCCGTCTAGGTGTTTTGGTAAATATTCTCCCTCCTTTATAATTGTTAACCAATCTGAATCTCTGTCAGATTGTTGCAGCTTTGACTCTTTCCGGTAGCACTCTTGTCGCTGTAGGCGCTTGGATAAATGTTCACAACATTATCAACCATACACTTGAGCTCTCGAAAACCGGAGAAATAACGGTGTACATCGTCGCTGGTGTGTATACTCTTGTTGCCATTACATCCCTTCTTGGGTGAGCATTCCTTCATTGAAGATTATGTTGAAGCTGACGTCCATACAGGCTAGTAGGCGCGTTGACCGCGAGGCCAGGCCTCGTGTCCACCTTCAACAGTCTGCAAATAGGATCATTCATCATCAGTTTGGCGATTGGTGCATACTCGTTATACCTTCTGTTCAGCAACAAATACGAGATCGACACCTCTAATTGCATAAACTCTGTCGATGCTACTACTAGCGCCGATACCGCCAAGCAAGTCTGCGACACAGCGCTTAAAGTATCAAAGGCTGTTGTTGTAGTCATCTACGGCATAATATGGCTCGCTCAATTCTGTTCGTGTGCCTCTAATATCCTCTGGACAAATTTCTGACCCTTTTGTTCTTGCAGATGGCCTCTTCATTGTGCGTAGCTACGTTCGGGAACTGGAGGAGAAAAGGTTCGCGAGGTACAAGTATGTGACAGTCGCACCATGAGGCTTTTCGTGCTGCTTGCATTGTAAATTTTACGGATATCAATGGACGCATTATGCAACATGAGTAGAACACATGTTTTCTGATCGACATCCATGCCTGAACACAAAGGCAGCCACTGCCAAATTAAGGCCTAATGCGCCTCGAGTACTGCGCAAGTGATACATCGTGGGCGTACGACTTTCGTCTTCTTTGACATTATATTTCAAGATCATGACTACAATTACAGTGCCTTCAGCCAAGTCAACAAATCCCGGTTAACCTCATCTTTCGCCTCCCACATCACCCAGTGACAGCCTTCATATTCATGAATAGTCACGTTCTTACATTTTGCAATGGTCCCCGCTTTGTTGACGGCGTTAAGAGCGACGAAGTCTTTCAGCGCACCACCGTAGAAAACCGGCTTCGTAACCTCGAGGTTTTCCTGTGGGGCAGCTGTAATCGCGATGAATAATGGGCATTCAAGAGATGGCCAATCAGCACACCTTTGTTATCCTCGGCATCAATCTCCGAGGTCATGATTTTGTACCAGTTTAGACAACTGGCCATGCCACCGTCAAGGAGTTCCTTCTTGTGAAAGTCTTTTTCCTAAATATAGTGGGTGAGATGTATCCATTGAAAACATTAGTATTATGACAAACCTCCTCAGTGATGTACGAAGCCAATGGACCGTCGGTCTTGCCTTGCAATAGATACGCTTTCAAAGCGCCAGTGGGAGCGAAATCGGAGATCATCAACTTTGGGTCATGAGCGTACAAGAGTCGTAAGAACGACTCCATGTTGTCCTCGATGATCTTGTCGGCACCCTCTGAAGAGAAGAAGGACCAATATCCGAACAGTTCGTAGCCGAAAGTTTTCTTGGACTGCAATATGATTTGGGTTATTACATCCCGCAAAGATGGAAGAGCATACTTACGAGGTCCAGGAACTGCTTGTAATTACTTTCCGTACTCGGCGGGAAATATCCGACGGCCAATAAGCCGAACGCGACGAATCGATCAGGGTAGTAATTAGCAAGACGGCTGATGATCTTGCAGCCCCTTCAGGGGGATGAGAATAACGCTCAGGTCACGAAGTGATCTGAACGAACCAATCATGGCCAATGGCGACCACCTGGGTAGCATTCTCCCCATCTATTAGCTCCACTAGATCTTTTGTAAGAATGGTCGACCTGTAATCCGCGGGGTCGGCAAGCTTCGAGGATCCTCCAAAGCCAAGCATATCTGGGACTATGAGCCCATAACCCTCGCTGAGAAAGAAAGGAACCTGGTGTCGCCAATCGAACGAGGTGCTGGGAAAGCCGTGCAAAAAAAGCAGGTATGGCTTAGCGTCATCCTTTGGGGGAGAGAAGAAGTAGTGGTAGGTATGGCCGTGAGAGGTCGTGAAGTCTTTGTATAGGGAGGAATCCATGATGAGTTTTTGATGCCGTGACGAATCCTACATTGATTTATATAGGTGGCTGTCTGGGAAACAGCGAACAGGAGAGAGGTATGCAAATCACGGCGTCCTTGCTGTCCCGGGTCGCACGAGGCAGTACCGGTAACGTTACTTACCCGTCTATCCGGCGGTCGAAGTACCAGAAGCGGACTCAAGGTAAAGAAGTCTGACTTGGGAACGACCGAGCTGGCCGGCATTTCGGTCCCATAGCCTATGAGCTAGTTTTGGATTCAACGTCACAGTATTCTGTACATACCGAAGTCTTGCAAACGACTGAACACAAGAGTAAATTCCTTGAGGCCTGCTATTTTCGAAGAAAATGTGGAAGTAAACGCCCGGATAGATGGTCACGAATTGCAATTCACTGCAGAATATAGGCCAGATTATCCATACACTAGGTATGCTTCACCTCGAAGAAAAATATTTGCTGTGTCGTGAGAGGCGCCCACCAGTCTAAAATGAGTCAATGCAAGTCTCAATAACAAATACTTCTTGTCGGCGTATTGACCAGAGAGTGATGCCCACCCTTCTTCCGTTCCATGTTCCTGCCCAAATTTCTCTCCTACACACTACTGGCCAGATGGAATTGAGATGGAATGACTTCCTCGTGCCTCAGAATATTGCACGAATATTCCGACATTGACGTAGATGAAGGCGATTATCGACACATGTCAACATGTAACGAATATTTATCCTGGCGCGGGGGTCGCTATACGGAACCCGATGGGAATGGGAGGAAAGGAAAAACCGTGACGTTGAGTCGGACATCGGACCGACCTTCCGACGAGCCCGTCAACGGGCCGGCGGGCCAGCAGCTTCCAAGGGGCCAAGGTGCATCTTTCTTCTCGCTACATGTTTTCTTTGGTTGTGTTCAATTGCCGTCCGTTATCATCCATTCTACACCCCAAAAAATTCACAATGTCCATCGAGACTAAGAATGCGTACTAGTACCAAGGAGTTCTCCAGCGGTTTAACTTTTTGACAAATGTGACTACGCGTTTCGACATCGACAGTATCCCAATTGGTTTCCTTTGTGGCTTGACAGCGCTGGCCAAATTTCTGGGCGAACACGACGATTTGTGCGCCTTCCTCGCTGCCTTTTTCCCACTTAAAATTATCGGGAAAAACTTGGACGCCGTCCGTCACTATCAGAGTCATTTTTACGGACCGTAGTGCAATTCCGTTCGATTGACGCCACGACTAGGATCCAAATGGAGACTAGACATCAGAGCCGGCGACGGGCACAGTCGATATCACGGTGATATGTTGGACCAAAAAAGACACAAGGTGAGAGTGTCATTTATTAAAGCTTACATCGGACATCTAGATCCAGAACTTTGGCATCGGTACCGAGATGACTCACTTAAATAGGGTGCTAACCTCGAGGCGCGGTATACTAGCAAGGCCGAAGACTTCCCTGCGTACCCGTGACGATGTCCCTTATTTTGAATCACCAAGTTACGACCCTTGTCTAACAAACCTTAAAATCCTAGTTTGAGCCCCAATGAACTAGCCAGTTAAATTGCAAGGGCCTGAAGCGAGAAAAAACAGGATGCCATGCTCCATGATGTGATCAATTGTCGAGTCATAGATTTCGATGACTGCACAGAAGAATATAGTACTGCAGATGGTTTACATGTGGAAACCTGTGATAAAGAGAACGTGATGTTGGGGCGAAAGCGAATGGCAGTGAACTCCGAAGCAGGATATTAAAAAATGATATAGAGGAGAAGCGGACGATATAGCAATTGTAGAATGGCTAAGGTCAGAAATAAGGGAAAAGTATCGGGAACTTTCGCCACAGATACTGGACCAATGGCGACGGAGGTTTTATCCATGCATAAATTCTCCAGATCCGACCGCGAAACCATAGTTCGTCATTCGAAGACAGGAGCTTGTCAAGCCTCTGAAGCGCCTTCGTCATAGAGGGTCTTCTGACATCATGTCGAGCAAAAGAGGCCTAAAATTATCCAGTCCTTGGTGGGCCTGATCGTAGCATGGGTCAATGGGTATGCAAATATAGTCATCAATAGATCCTCACGTCACAAAGTTTGAAGAATGTGGTGCCAGTGTTATAATTTGAACGGATTGCATGGAAGACCAAGAGAGAACTCCGGCGAACTCTTCACGCCGCAACGTAAAGGCACTCTCCTTGCCTTCCGGGTATTCTTAGCGCTCTCAAAGTCGATATAATATTGGACGGGTCTGACGCGGCATCGCAGACGAGTTGGAAGGGACCAGTGGACGCCATCATAGCTCAGGTCATCTGCAAATTGGTAGCCTCTCGGACAAACTCCATAAGGAAGTTGAGCAGGCTCACGTCACTACAAAATCCCGATTCAGCTGTGTAAGATCAGGAACCTGGTACACTTACATATGAGTTATATTGAGGCTGTGCATAAAATCGAGACCCTGAAGAAAGGTTGGAGGAGAAATGGACCAAGAAAGAGATACTCGCGTCTAGAAGCTGACGAAAGGTGTTGACAAATTCGGACAGGCAATGGAACGGTGGGGAGTAAGAGTCTTTGAGCATCGGCATGACCATGAAAACGCGCTTCTCTTTGTCACTAGGAATCGGTATGATATCGAGGATAGGAACAGTATGATTTCGTGGATCCTGCAGGAGCGTGGGTTCAGACAGACGCTTGGCTATGGTAAGCTCATCAGTGTCTGAGCGAGTAATTCGGAGAACGACTTTGGTCTTATCTTTCATTCTGACAACATTCAGGACGACGGGCGACTAAAAAAGCAACGCCAAAATGTCAGTAAGATTGTTCGAATATTAGTGACAATACTTTCCCTACCATGGGGAAATGTTGATCTTCAAATAAAGCCCGAAATTTCCATCTCTCCGTTCCGTCTTTCCGAAGCCAGGAAGGGTGCCAGTTAGGATGGTATCGAGGACGCAGCATATATTCCACACTGGTTAAAAATGGCTGATGGCTCAACCGGAATGCCTCTGAAGAATCGAGTTCACAGCTTGAGTACGTCACTGCGTCAGAAAGACGCGGGAGTTTCGAAATTTCTGAGCTAGATGTACCCGAGTTTGAAGTCGCCATTATGCTCAAATGTTGGTCAGTGGTTGAGCCACAAGTCCAGATCACGCCGCCATTACTCGTTTATCTCCAGATCGAGGATCCGATCGGCCGAACAAGGCGAGGAAATCTCTGGAACGGTTCTTTAAGTTTTCTGTTGCTACTGGATGAGTCAGTCCTCTAAGGTATCCCAATTCCACGTCGCTCGTACCAGCTAGCTTCATGTTTGCGAACTCGGCCCGATAATCATAGGATAATTTCAGCATCGGCATAACCATAAGAAAGACGGTCATCAAGGACGGGAACAGTATAGCTTCGTCGTTCATGCACAAGTTCTGAGCTGCAAAGATGTTTCACCATGAATACCTCCTTCGAGCGATGCGAACTTTGGCTCAAGGTAACATCCACTGGGAGGACGCCCGGTGTCTGAACCAATAAGTACAGGAAGGCAATTAAAAATTACAGCTTGGGTATTCTTTCACGTACTGGACGTCTCAAACGATGCGCAAGGCTACCACTTTGGCACTTCTTTGTTCCGCCGTCTTTTTTAATCCAAGATCATGTCGAGCCAGGGTCGAAATTGAGTAGTAACGGGGTCATAGCATGTTACTTAGCGAGAACTGGTAAAAAAGGATGACGCTTTACCCAGAAATGTTCTGGAAAAGTTATATCGTCAGAAACGCATGCGCAGGTCCGCCTAGTCGGGTGGAGATAATCGGCATCTCGGCACTTACGTATGTAACACCGGCCCGTCAATTGGCGTTTCTGAGTCCTGCACCGACACCACGACTACAGTGAATGGCACGCGCGTTCAATCGTTACATATCTAATGGTGTGTCCCGGTAGCTCGATGTGCGTTTGAAAAGGATGCATCGCACTGAGAAGCCGACAGGGAACTAAAAGGCAGCTGAACTCGGAGACTCGATATAGGCTGTAGCCCTGATTCGTCAGAAGGAATGTTTCGCTTAAAGGTTGTATACAATCAACAAATAGTCTGTTGAAGGATTACGCAGCTGTTACGCCCAAGTGTCAGCCGAAACCTATTTCTTTTTAGTACCGAATGCTGGGTATTCCAACAAGAGAACACGTTGGTGGCGCTGGGATGATCATTCGCAACAGTATTGAGATGGCTGAGAGGAAGAAACAAGGCAGGTGAATGGCGCTTCCTGCCGTTCCGTCCGATTTTAACTTCTGTAGTTCTGCCATGCTGATGCATCGCCCTCTACCATATCCTGATCGGCACGACAATTTGCAACCAATACCATGCACGAGCACCTTTCCCTTAGAACACTGGACCAAGAACCTTGTCTGCAGATGAGTTTAGGACTCCAAGACGCGCGAAAAGAATTGGTGACCTTCTCAAGTTCAGAAATGACAGGACGGTCAATGATTTTATTTAGTTTATCGCCTATGGTGCGCTAAAAATTCTAACATGGAGAGGTCAGAATGCTTCCTAATGATGGTCTTTTCATTTCAGATCAACATTCAATGGGTCAATATTCGAGGGCACTTTATTTATTTACAGGCTTTAGAACGGTAGACTCATCTTACTGGCAGATGGCAGCACAAAATAACCTTGCCTCAAACAATAGATATCTCACTGTAAGTACTTATTGTGTCTCTGGTAGTGTAACGGTCAGTTCACTTTGTGTATGACAGCTGGGTTCGACTCCCACCGGGCGACTCTCATTGGAGGATCACTGGCTTTTTTTTTCTTTCTCCGACTGTCTCCGTATATTACGATCAATGCGACCCAAGTAATCGTGTACATTGTTACAAGCTGACAACAGTCAGCAACAGCGAACGATGGTTGAACATTCGAGCCATCACATCACAGGTGACTTCACTGGTGATTATTGCCTTTATCAATGAACCAGAATCGTCGTCGTTCTTCGAGGCTGATTTATGTGCACCGCCGTCGCAGCTCGTAATTTTAGCCTCAAACTAACCTTTTCCCAACGTGCCGCCCAATGCTGAATTCAACACTTAGCACTAATAAGAGTCGGCTGTTCCCGAGTCATAATTGCCAATTTGGTAAGGACTAACTTGCTCCGAACCACGACAGTCATTGACCCCCTCATTATATTCGTTTCCCAGAGATAGTGCATAAATACGAAAACTTTTTGGTCTCGCTCGCGACTCGCCTATGTATTCGAGCACTACATGCCTATGGAGCCCATGACAGATCGTTCTTCAACTATGTCTGACGTCCAAATACCACATCACGGTCTCGGTTACACAAGCCTTGTTCTTCCCAGATACGAGAAAATACTGGCCCGGAGAGTCATTCGAGAAGTCAGCTGTACACAGTGGCTACCTCTAGAACGCCGACATGGGAGGTTCATCTTCACTAACTCCGGTTTTCTCTTCCGAAAATACTTAGCATTCGAGAGAGGGATTATCGTAGCTAATCGCGATCGATCCTCGACGACCGGCTTTACTGTGCGATGAAACCATTTGTTGTTCTTTAGACCTCCAGTCGACCCGATCCTCTCGACATTGGCATCGATGTACCAATTTCGCTGGAATGTTTTTGTCGCGTCGTTGCATTGGGCATTCTTGTTCTCCCGGGTACGCGTCGTGTTTGGCTATCCTTTCAGTAGTTCACATGTATCTCCTTACGCAGTTAGCCCCCGGGCGTCTTTGCCTTGTACCCGAGGGTATCAGATACTATCCACGAACCTCCTGGTGACCGAACCTATCTACCAGGGTTTTTATATCTCGCCGATGAAGACATCTTTGCTAGTCATTTAGTCCCTACTCTGCAATCATTGGCACTCATTTCAAGCCGAGACTCTAACACCCTGACCCATTGGTTCTTGTTCTTTGTTTTGATGTCCGCCGGTGACGGGGGATTCCATTCTTCCTGTGCTTATGACTATCGCCTAGATTTCAATGCTATGTCGTTCGATTTTTAGGGCCGATGTTCGAATACGCGGCTCCTATCAGACAACCTTTCTTGCTACTTCAAGTTACCCATCATCTTACACCCGCACGACCAACCGTAAGTTACATTGTTCCTTACGTTCGGTCGAATCTTAGTTAACTCCGTGCTGCCATCAGCGTCCATACCGTGATATCAGGAGGCGCCGAGCAGCCGGAGTCACACTGCCCTTCTTTCCATTTAACGCGCTTGTATTTCTAGCATGCAAAGAAGTTACAATCTCGTCACTCACTCTCAAAGATCATTGTTGACCCTGCGTATGATCGATGCACATTAACTGTGCCGTGTATCTACCGTGCAAGGGGGATCCTGACGTTGTGATGGCGGAACCTGGGTAGAGTTCTAGAAAGAAGGTCCATGCAACATCATCACGTCACTTCTTTCTCACAAAAGATTCTCTCGATCAATGTTACCCTTCACTCATCAAGTACGGGAATGATAAAACCCCGTTCTTCCTTGCAACTGAAACTGTTGGTATTCAGTCATTGAATTAATATCGCCCATTGTCGGGTTGGAGGATTACAAAAACTGCCTTACTCTCCGGTGCGTGAAGACTTTCTCCCCTCTCTCCTGCAGTTGTCTAAGCGAGGCACGGTTTGGCTGTCAGTCGAAGATGAATGATGATATGGCCACCAGCGGTGTCGCGCTTAGCCTATGTCAAATTCAACAAGAACCACCGCGCTAAGACCGTTTCTCTGTTGTAAGCAGACTCAATTTTATCATTCGACCTGACACTCCACGAATTTCAAGTTTCGGCGATCTTTTACCTTGACTAACGACAAGGGGAGATTCATCATGGTCGCAATTCTTAATTATGGATACAATGTTGGTCTCTATCACAACCATCGCATGGCGGGCTTCTTATCCCGTAGATTGAACTTAGATCACTTGTTCCAAGTTATTTGCATCTGAATCTGCTCATGGGTCGGGAACATTCGTGATATTGGTGAGCAATTTGTCGTGTTCTTCTTTCATAATAGTTTTTATCCTTCTATGCTTTGTGACATGTCGGGAGGTAAACTTAAATCCGCTTTCCACCCGTCGATCCCTACGCGCAATTTTCGAGATGGGTTGGTGAAGATCCCCCACAGCGCAACAGAAAGCTGGCGATCCTGATGCGATCCTGCGAATTTTGAAACGCGCTTATTCACGGTACACACAGGCATACACTGAATACTGTGCAGGTACCATCTTTTCATCCTCCACGCTACATCCACGCCCCAACACCGCCCATCAAAACGCCCTGGTCCTAAACATGACATCGACATTGAAATTGCCGAGGCCTTCGTGTGTTATCCCTTGATCGGTAGAAATCTATCCGCGTTTTCGTCACATATAAAAGGACCGCCCTGCACGTTAGTTGCTTTCTAGCTCGGACGTTCATCCTACCATGCGATTCACTAGCTGCCTCTCTCTCCTTGCGCTCGTGTCTGTCGTCGTAGCGGGTGGCTCCTACCCGTCCTCAACACCCGGCCATGGGTGGCTTTGCCCAGACCACGATGGCCACGGCAATTGGAAAGCCGGCTGGGGATGTGATGCCCCGCCTTACAAGGGACCCCACTTTGGCTGCACGTAAGTCTCTTGCGCTCATCCTTCAAGCTTCAGCCCTCTTATTCTTGTATTCTCATAGATTCCGCACGGGCTCGACGGGATGGTATTCGTGCTCGTTCGATGCCGTGAGTATCTTTATAATTGTGAACTCGTTTTCAAGCCCGGTCTGATTATAATTTATGATTAGAACTCTGGAAAATGCGCTGAGGGCCAAGACTCGAGGTGCCCGTCGTCTGCTACGTACTCGGGCAGGAGGAAGAGGGACCCGGAAGCTGCACCAGCTCCCGTTCCTGTCTTTCGTGGATCGGTGAGCTTCGTTCCTTCTTGGTAATTTTTTGGATTAAACATGGATTGTTCAGAGCGAGGCCGCCCGTCTTGTATAAGGGATAGTAAATAACCTGGACTTTTTGCATTTGGACTCCTTGTAGCATTCACATTTTTTTATTACAACCGAAAACCCATTCATTACCCGTCACTTTCCTTTTGCATATTTACATTTTTATATTGGCGGGGAGTTTATAGACGCTTTATCCTTACTTGAGTTGCTTACGATTTGGCTTGGGCGCGTGTTTTTAGCTTCGGTCACGGAGAATTTTAATTCTTGCTGTTATTCGGGTGCCTTGTGTCAAGACGACGCTGAGAGCAGATGTCACAGGATGTTGAAGGCGCGGTCATCGCGATAGGTCTGTTATCACCGCTGCGTCTCTTCATCTCCGTGGCAAATGAATTCACTAGCCTACTTGATAATCTAGGCTCGACCTCCAAGGCGTTACCGTTGACACTAGTTGGACATGAGGCATGCATCACGTACACAGCGTGTTGTGATAGATCTTCGAGTCACGCAAATAAGGGCGGGTCGTACCCTTTCATGCCCAGATTCAAACAAACTTTCAAATACATTCACGATATCCCACTAAAAATACACCTAGGCACAGCATATGCGCAGAATCGTCAGAGCTTGAGCACACACCATGGACGACGACTTACTCGACCCGGGAAGTTTGTTCCTACTCGATGGAAAACAAAGTGAGCCGGAAGCAGCGTGTGCGCATCTTAGACAAACGCACCCGTTGAGTGTATTAGCTCCCCCTGCAAATCGCTTGCTAGTTCATAGCCTACTGGATAGCACAGATTCCTAGTTGATTTGGAGACCCCGTCCCGCACCTATTCCCATAAAGGCTCGATCAGATTTCGATGGGGAGAGCGGTAACAGCGGGACCCGCATCAGTGTGGTTACGACCGAAGGGCCCCACCCCGAATATGAAGTTGGTTATTAATGTCCGACTCCTCGAAGGCTTCAACATGCCGCAGATTTGTAGTAAGTATTTGAATGAGCGACGTTATGAAGCCGAGGAAATGAGGTAATTACCACAGGTATTACAGGTATGCGATTCACGGGCAGGGCGTCGACAAAGATTTATAGAAGCCTCTAATCGGAAAGGAGCGCGTTCCCATACTACGCCGCCGATGCATATTCCTGAAAGAACGCATCCACCTGGTCCTCGGGGATATGCACCGGCATGGACGTATTCAGTGGTCGTGCCTGCAAAACGTGAGTTTCTCATGGGCGGAAGCAGCCAGAACGAGAAGGCATCACCATTAACGATGTCACAGGTAACTATGAGCAAGATCTTGTGCCTGTAGTGAGTCGAGGTTGGTTTAAGATACAGTTGGAGTTCGAGATCGTTTCAGTGGATGACGAGCATGGGCCGCTGCGATGTGGAAGCTCAGCTGCGTAGATTATCGGGAGCATGCAAAAGCAGAGGTTAGAATGAGCGGGACGAGCCTATACACTTTATCTCCTGTACGGGTGATGATATCGTCGTCTGGCATGCCTCGTCGAGATGATTGTCAGCGATGCCGAGTCCTTTCGATATTCAACGTCTCGAGACCACCTACGGGACATCGCTTCAAACATTCAGAAGCCCAGTTGACGAGCATGTGGAACGATAGCCGCTTCTATCATGATTGGTTCGATAAATCCCGCGAAGCCGGCTTGGTCGCAGCTGTACCTCAGGGAAAGTAAAGGAGCATGTTCCAAGTCCTACAAAACAGTCTGTACAGTCTGTGCAATGCGCTTTGTATCATAGAAAAATGCAATCCTCGCGCCGTCCATTTGTATCCTCTATACAGGATGTCAGCGAATGCGAGACGGTGAGATGAAGAATCACCTTGTTCAATAATGATAGATAGATCCAATCCCTCGGCCTTGAACGCTTTCAGACGATCGATGTTGGACAGAGCTCTAAGGTTTCGGGAAGTCTGGTCTCCTAGCTCCTCTTTTCCAGCAACCCCTTCAATACCAGCTTTACAGCACCTGGTACTGACTTGACACAATTGGGCAACCTGTGATCCTCGGGGGATAATCCGACGTTCATCGATAATCCTAACCAATAGCTCCCCTATTTCTTCGGATAAGGCTTCCCCTGTAAAAAGCTCCTGTACCTTCAACTCCAAAACGTTCAAGTTGGAGAGCGTGGAGTTCATGTCGTCCAAGGCAAGACACTCCAGGAGTTTAAGCGTATCCGTGCCGTAATATTCCATGTCGAGATGCAATTTGCACAGGTGTGGCATGCACGAGAAAAGGTCCTTTGGGTGCTCCAGTTGACACATTAGCCAAATGTGAAGAGAGCGCAGACGGCACCCAGAACGAGCGAGTTGTGAAAGGGTAGGTACAGAAAGTGGTATATCGTATCGTGGAAGGATTGACAGGTGTTCCAGCACCGGACAGTCGAGGTAATTTAGCAACTGAGGAGACTTGACGCTGAACGAACGGAGTTTCCGGAGCGTCGCAGTGGTGTTTCCGGAATCTGGGTTGAGTATAGTCTCTTCCCTCAACGTCTCGAGGTTTGGGCAGAGCCGAAGAACCTCAATGCTCGCCTCTATCGAAGAATCCCCGGTCAACCCAAGCGACATGGATAAACGCGTAAGCTGCCACCACGATGCTTGTATTACACTTGAGTCGAAATCAGATGATGGTGTATTATGGAAGTGGAATTCAATAGATCTGAGGTTTGGCGCATTTTTGAACATGCTCAGCTTGGTGATGAGGTCTTCTACGGAACGTTGCCGACCCAAGACAAGTGATTTTAACGATGGCAAATGGAGCGGAGGCAGATTTTGTGGCGCTGATTGGATCCTAGGAAGGGTGGGTAGATGAATATCTTCCCACTGAGACGAATGCTGGACCAGAGCCTTGAATATGGAAGAGGGAAAATCATCGGATAAAAATATCGTCATGGTCAGTCCGCGTCGTCCAGTTCGCTGAAGCGTGTCCAGGAGCAGTTTTGCCCCGACATCTTCTTGCCTATTTTCTGGCCAATACACCATAAAGGATGACCACAGAGCGGGGCAGTTCTGTGCGATGTCACGCCATAGTCGACAGACCCTTACCAATAGCCGTGGTCCTCGATATAGATGCCCAAAAATCCTATAAGGCCTTTCAATTGCGAGGAGAAATATTTCGGAAAGAATTTCAGGAGGAAGAGATTCAATGGGTGGGTGAGGCGACTCTGGGGTCTCAGCTTCAGCTACCATAGAGATGCTTTGTGTATGGCAGATAGAATTTTTTCTGACTGATACCTTGAACTTCATGAGTCGGGGCATCATTAACAAGTAAAACACTAAGTACCCACCTTGTGTTGTCTTTCCAAAAGTGAAATATAATCGCCGTTGGTGATGTCGGTTCGAGGTGGTGTGGGGACGAGATATTGTTGGCTGAGGCCAAAAAAATGAATGGCGTGATGGTTCCTTGGTTGTGCCTGTTCGGACATATCGGGCCGAGTCCTAACGCGCCTTCTCTTCTTGTTCTCTACTACTGCTCTCCGACAAGATATCCAACGAGTGCACCAGTGCAGGTCCGATCCTTACCGCCTGTACCGCTATGATGGTAGGTCAGGTCAACTCCTACCTATGAGTTGGTGGTGACATAAGCACTGTAAATTTGTCGAGCACTTTGATCAAACTTTGATATAGCCTACGCTGGTAGTCTGGTATAGGGCTTCGCACCGTCACCGTATAGTACGGTTATACAGGTGCCGTCATACGGGTACCGTGCCCGTTCCGTCTGGCGAAATAACTTACCCAGAGACGGACGGTATACGGACATCCCGTATACCGTTAGCAACCGTATAAACACGGCCGTCATACGGTAATCGACGGCCGTGTATGTATCTAAAAATAACCGTCATCAGATCACACTGTACGCGTGTTTGCCATACACTTAACATCGTACCACGATGTGCTGGCACCGCAAGCTCTTCAGCGCTACCACCCGATCTTCTTTCACTCGCTCTACTCAAGCTCTAACCCTTACCAACATAGAATACTTTCTATTTCCTGCTTCTGCTGCCTCTATTCTACTACTGTTTCATCCTTTGAGTTTGACTACCCACACATATTGCGGAATAATTTGCCCCCTGCTGGCCTGTGCACCTGTCAAATACTACTGAATTTTAAGCCAGAGGAGTTCACGAAAGAGTATATAATGGTCCTTTTTTCGCAGACTTACAACCACATTCTGAGCATCATGACAGATCAGTGTGCCCTCGATGCCAATGGAAACTTGAAATCCCCCTCGAAATTCAATTTTTATCACGATGCAGATGACGACGTGCCCATGGCAGGACCTGGAGCTGCTCCGAAGCCCCAAATATCAGGTATGTATTATTCAACGGCCGTATTGACGACCGGCACGGCCGTCTATATACCCGTACCGTACCGTCAACCTAGTTCTAAGAGCATTGACAGTACGGTTACGGATCAGCCGTCGCCCGTCACTGTACCGTGGCTATACGGCCGTATACCGTATACGGTACGGTGCGAAGCCCTAGTCTGGTACCGCTTCAAGACATTTGTTTCTTCCTGAAAATGAAGTAAGTCGCAAGACTCGACTTTTTGAAAATATAATTTTGAGGATTAAAATAGTGCAAGCACGACTGGAGATCTACGTGAGCAACGGCAGCACCTCTTTTGGCACGAAACACTAATTAGCTCTGGCAGGTTTTCACTTTCTATGCAACATACTTGGTCTTTTTTAGAATACAGGTTCTTTGCGTTGTTGGAACTTCTACTTTTTTGTCTACTAGTCGTTACTGGATGCACGAGGTTCTATTACTTTTCCGTTCGTTACTTTGGCTTAACTTTGGCTCAGCTGCGTATTTAGCCAACGCAGGACTTGCGACAGCGTCTAAATCCCATTTTGTACGCCCTTACAAAGACTTCATAGCCAATCCCACTACTATTTTTTGTCCCCAAAATATGATGGTCACTTGCTTTTTCTTTACGGCTTCCTCACCACCTTCAAGTGGCGGCGTCACCAAGCTGCCGTCTTTGACAATGAAAATTACAGTTCAAGACAGCCTGGCTACGGAGGATCTTCGAAGCCTGTCGATCCCGCCGACTACCGGTCAAGCGTTCTTACCAAAGATCTATCAGAGCTACTAATACTTAGACGCGGAGAGTATTTCCCGTGTTGTTGCCAATGGTCGCAACTGATTTGTGTTCTAACTTAAATCACTCGTTGTCAACGTTCTCTTCTCATCAATCTGGGGGTTGCAAGATCATCAGCCTAGCCAATTATTACGCTATTCGATTTATCGCATATGGCTTCCTGGCCACCGGAAATTTCCCGCCGAGCACAGGAAAAGAACCAATGCAAGCATTGACCTGCTCTTCCATGCCTGTAGGCACAATAACCCAAAGTATCTTGCGGTCCAAGAAAACTTTCGTTAGAACTCTTCGTATACGAGACCCTCTCCTCGGATAGTGCCGGAAAGATCATCAAAGACAATGTGGAGTCATTCTTGGTCTTGTACGTGCAGGAACCAAAGTTAACGGACGTCCCGCCTCATCATCATGGGTGATTGTCCTTCGCAGAATGCCTGATCCCCAAGTGGTCGGGCCTCGGAGAGCATTTAAAGTAAGGCAGATCAGGCAAATGATAGCAAAGCGACAGTTTATCACTTTGACAAGCAGAATCTTCGTGTTACTTAATACTTTCACCGACAAGGTGTTCCACTGGTCGCCGTTAATCTCGGAATTTCGGACCGTCAATGCCAGGCCGAGGTGATCGAAGGATACTGCCGTATATGGCCGATGCATTTCCTGACGTTTGTTTGGACTGCCCATCATGTTCGACTACAACAGTTTTCGAGAAGTACCTGCTGCGAAGAAGAGACTGGCCGGTGCATGTGATAGGTGTCGTCAAAAGAAAGGTGAGCTTGCTCAAAGAAGGTCACGTCGGTGTGGTGCGGCGGCCGTGCCTGGTATTGGACTTGGATCTGCCGAAGTCAGGGCATGACGACGCTTCATGCGTTTTACAGAACTCTGTCCAAAACGCGGTGATCTGTTAAATTTTCGTCCTAGGGACCTTTGTCTTTTTCAAGATGGGTTAGTATCGAACCTGAGAAGCTGACTGTTCTTCTTTTCCAGTTAAATGTATTCTCGTCGGCGTTTCTCACCTTGAAGAAATTCAGAAATCCTTTCTCCATAGGCGATAGTACTACCGCGCAAGAGAACAATTGTTCGAAATGTGTCGCTTCCAATACAAAGTGCACGCATACAGATTTAATCAAGGTACGCCTTCATTCTTCGTTGAAATTCGCGACGTCATCTTATTCTGTACAGAGACGTGGGTCAATGCCAAGGTTCTTTTTACCTGTGTCGACACTCAAATTGAGCACTTACCCTGGTAGTTATACACAGGATTCCTTTGCTAGTTCTTCGAGCTCAAAGAGACATGGGCCTCACCTTAGGTATACTTCCACGCATCGCTAGATCTCATATATGCTAATAAGATACCCGTCAGCTATGTACACAGCCTGGAACGGCGCGTGAATCAGTTGGAGTGTATGCTCAAACAGGTGCAAATGTTCTTATTTTAGTCTAGGACCTTCTCTGAGTTTCCGTAGCTCAATCCGAACGCTTGTCAACCAGAAGAAATGGCAGGACGAGAGACCTCGCCTGAGCGTCCGCCGATATCCATGTGCGCCCCTATGTCTCGACAAGCGAGCCAATCATCCGAGATTACCGAGTCAGAGGACTTTTCATACCCGGACATCATGAAAAGTTTAAAAAGATTGGCGCCTCACCATTTCGAGAGCTTTAGTCAGAGGTATTTCGGACGTTCAAGCACTTTTTCACTCCTTACAGATGCCATATACATCAAGAAGAAGTCTACGGGCGACGAGAATATAATACAATTTCGAGAGTATTTCGATCTACAGCCTGTGTGTTTCGCCTCCGAGTCTTTTGTTTTCACAATTCACGAACCTTGACTCCATTAGTGGGAACGGGCAACAGCCGACGCTGAGACTCCTCGTTATGTGTATCCCGACAATGACCTCATCCAGAGCCTCGTTGCTATCTATTTCGAAACAATTAATCCGGTCGTTCCAATTCTGCATCGGCCTACTTTCGAAAAGCAAGTTGACGAAAGATTACATTTGCGAGACTATGATTTCGGCGCTGCATTACTGCTTGTCTTGGCAGTGGCTTCGCGATATTCTGACGACCCACGAGTTTTGGCAAATCTAAGTTCCAAGCTTTCTTCGGGATGGAGATTCTTCGAGCAGGTCCATATCTACAAGAAAGCAGGTTACGATCCTCCATGCTTGTATGAGCTTCAGGTCGCTGTGGTAAGTCAGAATGCCCTCTAGCTTCGTCTAACTAAGGGTCGCCCTGATAGCTCGGGGGTGTATACGCCCTTGGGACTTCTGTTCCCGAGTTGAGCTGGACCATGATCGGGGTTGGACTACGTTCTGCGATAGCTATAGGGCTACATAGACGAAAGACGGGAGGCTGCAAGTTCACGGTCGACGACGAGCTTAAGAAGCGGTCATTTTGGTAGGCCTATTCTTGTTCAAGCTGCTGTCAACGCGGGATGCTGATGAGATTCTACACAGGGTGCTTGTTGTACTCGATAGGCTCCTAGGACTATATGTTGGATATCCTGCCATGATACAAGACGAGGAGTACGTTGTTTCCGCAGATTATGAGGCTGTTCAACAAATCGTTTCAGGTTGGACCTAGAAATGCCAGTTGAGTGTGACGACGACTATTGGGAGGTAGCTCCAGACGGCCAAATACGTTTCAATCAACCCTCTGACGAACCTTCACAAATCAGCTATATCAACGCAGTGATACGGTTAACCGAAATAATGTCCGTTGTCATGAAGACATTGTGTTCTATTAAGAAAGCTCGAGCCATGTCGGGTCTCACGGGGAAGAGCTGGGAGCAGCGGCTAGTTGCCGAATTGGATTCCTCTCTGAATGCGTGGGTAGACTCGATCCCCGATCATCGTGTGTATCTAATAATCCCTGTTCGACATCTTATTGACTCTGTCTTAGTACGTTGGGATCCCAAACGTGAGAATGGATTATTCTTGTACCAATCCGCATCCCTGTACAGCGTCTACTATATGGTCCAGATACTCATACACTGCCCCTTCCTACGCAAAGACTCGTCATTGTCCGTGCCTTCTCTCATTATCTGCACAAATGCGGCGAGGGCGTGCACTCGAATCATCGAAGTTCACATGACTAGAATAAGGACTGTCAATCCCCAGATAGTTGTACGTGTCTAATCGCTCCTCTCCCTATATTGATTTACGCCTAAGGGTAGATGGGCGCGTTCACCTCCGGCACTGTGTTCGCTATGAATATCTGGAGCGTCAAACGGGCGGGTCATGCTCTTAACGCAAAGGACCTTGCGGGATTTGAACTGTGTCTAGCCGCCCTCGAAAACGCTGCCCATACGTGCGTCTTGGGTCTTACTAGAATTTGATGGAACTAACCTTGTTCAACCGACAGATGGAATATTACAGGGGGTATGCTGTGAGTTTACTGTGAAGACTCGCGTTGGCAGGACCGTTTTTGACAGGGCTTGTAGCCTCTTGTTTAAGGCCCTGGCTTCCGTAGAGAGCTCTAAAACATTAGATGACTCCACGGTACCCCCGACACTTCATGAGAACGTGACTGTTGCTCCAGCTGATTCTATATGGAGTCCGTACGATGCCATGCCACAAAATGCACTTCTTCAAAGTATTCAGCCCTTCTGTACCTTTGTGTTGTCCTATATATTTGATTATCAATTAACGAGACCCGACTTCTTAGGTGAACAAGTATACTCGGAAAATAATTTGGCGAATCAACTGGGCGCGGGCCCGCCATTAGGCTGGGCAAATGAACCTTTCCTTGGGCTCTCAAGCTCAGCCCAGCCACCATATCTCAACATGGAATCGGGGTTATCTAGAGAACTGTCAAGCAATATGTGGACTAGCACGGCTTTAGGGCTTAGGTAGGCTATCTTCGTCTATGATTGTCTTTTGGTGATGCTTGTTGATGTATCGTAACCCGTAGTTTCTCGGAGTGGAATACTTTTGTTACAGACATGGATCCGGAGCTAATTGATGGTCTTCATAAATATTACGGCGACGCTGGTACTAACACTTCTTGATTGTATTTTTTTACAGTACGTGCAGATTTAAATACAGGCGACGATGCTACGGGAAGAACGTCAGAGTTTCGGTTTCGAGAGGATCCACGTGCTACAGTATTTTCCCTCAGAGTCAAAGTTATTCGATCGTCGAGACGTGATCGGGTGTTCTGAGGCTGGTGCTAAAACCAATTTGGAGTATGATGAAAGTTGCATTGAGTCGTCATACGTGATGAATCACATTGAGGGAGTATCGCAGTATCATTTTTCGAATTCTACGCATAAATGCATTCATACGGGTTCTAGTCATGCTTCATGATTCTAGAACTGTTGAAATGCGGCTCCCATTGCGATAGATCCACGATTCGACTTTATTTCTAATTAAGGATCTAGTCCGAGGGTTTCTACTATGGTCTGTTCAGCATGTTAGTTTCAATACCGCGAGAATCTCTTTCTCATATCCAGGGTCGTGTGACTTCCCCACGCTTATCCTCCATGTAAAATAGTAGCACCAGGAATTCCTGTCTTCGTCAAGACCGCTTTCCCCCCATCAGAAACGGCTGGTTGAGGTTCTTGGTTCTTGGTTGAGGGATCCAATTTATTTCTGGCTATCTCTGGTCGTCTTTGTGCCCAAGTATCAAGGCTGAACACCTTGCTACACGTCTTCTGATTATGTTCCGGCTGCTCAGGTATATAAAGTGTGAAGGCTCTGCTTCTAGTATTATCCGTACCCTCGCTCGGTACTGTCCTGAATCATGTTTGGAGTCATTCCCCTGAGCGTTCAGTCTCTTCCATGGTGTCTGGGAGTCCCGCTCCCCGTGTCATGTCCGTCCCATGATCAGCGTGATGCTGCCCCCAACCGCTTTGTCTTGAAGGCGGACGCAGCAGACCCTCAGGTCAATCTGAATTTCCGTATCGGTCTCACGCCAAAGGATATTGCTGGCCTCGAGAAAGCCCTGTACGATCCAGACAACGATCTATACGGGCAGCATCTTAGCTTCGAGGAGGTCTGACTGTTTCTCTCTCATGTTTATATACCTATTTGTTCATTGTTGCCTAGGTCAAAACATTCAGCGCAGCAAATTCAGAGGCAGTAACCGCTGTCACCGGCTGGCTTGCCGATAACGGAGTCAACTTGGCGCCGGTGCTTTTGATGACTGGCTAACCTTCATGGCTCCTGTGGGAAAAGCCAACACACGCCCAGTACGAAAATTTTGTACACACCGACACAGGGGATACCTCATACCTCATCCGTACTTTGACTGCTTCAACACCGTCAGACCTGGTCGACTTTGTCGAGGTTGTGTATCCTACGACATCTTTTGGGAGATTCACGTTCGGCCCGAAATCCATGGTGTCTATTCCTAACCTGACCAAACGAGCGAATCCAGCACCTTTGTTGTGTAACAATGTCATCGTCTGCAAGCTCTATTATAATGGTATTCCCACGACTCGTGCTACTAATCATCTGGTTTCATTGCTCAGGTAGAATTTCTGTATCATACAGAGCTGACGGCGGACCTTTGAACATTCCTAACTGCATTGCGGCTTGACATCCCAACGTCTACTTTGCAGAACTCTCGACGGTAGTCAGAACCCTCAGGGCCGGGATTGAGGCCGTAAGAGCCCAGCTAGCTTCAAATGTTTCTTGATGGTCGTCTACGATTATTTTTGAGGGCACTTAATAACCCAAACACGAGCCGAAGAAAAAAGTCGGGCTTCCGTTTTCGTTAGGCTCGCGGCATAGATAATTGTTAACAACCAAATCAAATTCCCAGACTAACACCGCTAGTAATACAAAGTTACTTGAATGATTTTTAAATACAAAAAAAGGACCACAAAAGAAAAACCAAAACCAACCTCCCAGGCTCCGTTAGCATCATTCTTTCAAACAGTCACAGCCGTGATATCGAACAGCTGGTCCGCCGAGTTATCGCAAGAAGCCAACGTCGCAGGAGTAGTCTTAGATGTGACGCACAGCTTGTTGGTGGTGGAAGTGATGCTGCATCCCGAAGCGACCTTGCCCTTTGTCTGGGAGATGTCCTTCGAGGTACACTCTGTACAATCAACCATCCATTTCTGATTCCTTGCATATATGGGGGGTGGTACATAAGTCGTTGAAAAAAGACGAAACGAGGCGAGAAACAAGAGCGTACGGATTGCTTCCTGATGGGTCGGTGTTGGCCATCAACGGTGCCCCACCGGCACCAAGTTGGACGGCGAAGTTGTTGTTCTCCACGGTCCTATCATGGGATTTTTTCTCGTCAGTAAGACTCCGTAATACTAATAAGGGGGACGCGTACTTGACGGTATAGTCGACAATGGGGAACCCGTTTTGTTGGAAGAAGAACTTGGAGGAAGAACTTGAACTAGCACTGAGGGGATCGTTGAGGACGGGCTTGGCTGACCAGGAGAGTGCACCGCTCGGGGTGGACAGAGTGAGGGCGACACCCCCAAAGTTGGGGTGGCAGCCTGGGGTGGGGTCCCGGGAGCCCAAGGGCGACGCGGTAGAGAAGAGAGCGGAGAGGAAGAGGATGATCGTGGAAGAAGAGAAAGACATTGGGAACAAGAGGTGAAAGATAAAGAGGTGAAATTGAATGGGCAGGTTGGTGAAGAACGAAAAGCTGCTAAAAGGAAGGGTGGTGGTCCTTTTTATTTGGTAAGATCATGTTACTCTGGATGATGAACGGGGAATGGTAGATCGCGGAGGGCTATGCATATGAGCGAGGTCATGACGAAGTTTAGGATCGACTGTATTCGCCCAGTGATGTTTTGCTTGGGTCGAGTCGAATGCGGGCGGGAGGAGGCGGGAGGAGCTGTTGCCGCCATTGTTTCAGATCCGCATGCGCGTGTAAGGCTGGGCATACAACCTGTCGCCTACGTCCCCCTAGCCGGAGTCGGCTCCAGAAGTGCCAACGATTTGAATTTCCAACTGGGTACCAGGCTCGCGCACAAATGGTGCCGTCACACGTTGATTAATTTAAATCAGTGCATTAGTACACTGTGAGAATGGACTGGCTGCTGTTTGGGCTGTCATGAAGGGAAAACGCGACGAGGCTCAGTGAGGTGGATTAAAAAGGAAATATTGTGACGGTGCGTGACTTGGCGTACCACCACCAACATGACTTTTCTTCGGCATCGATCTCCCCATAAACGTTTTAAAACTCACGCTTTGCATGAAGCTGAGCCCGAGCCCTGTCCGTGCGCCAGTCATGTTCGACGGTGAGTATGGAGCCCTCGACACGTCGGGCCCACAGTTCATCAATCCTGCAACGACGTTTGAGGACGTAAGATGAAAGGGCGATAGTGGTATGGCACAGATTCGAACGATATCTTGGTGTGCCGAGTGCGTCGTTTCCCCTATGTTTTGCTATAACTAATTCCTCTGAACGTGTTCGTCTCCAACCTCGAATCTAACGTGAGAAACTCACCAATATGGCCCAACCGACTGCCATAAACTCGACGTGTACTACCTGGTGGGCTCTACACTCCCTGCCCCCGCGTCCCAACATCTACCACAACCTCCTTATAAATTCGTGCTCGTTTCCATTTCCAGCACTGCGTCAAGCTCACTCGAACCTGCCCCAACTATTTCCCAGCAAGACGCCCAGCTCACCATCCTGCACCAGCGGTAAACCATGGCCCAAATTCAAGGCGACGATATCTTGGTGTCGAGTGCAGCACTAAACGTGTTCGTCTACCGCGAGAAGACATCCTAATACGACCGCCACCCTACTCCTCATCTACATGGTCGCATGCACGCTTCCATAACCTCGGTTCATGGTAAAGTTCGAAACGGAGAGTTATCTTGTGTTCAGGGATTCGGTGGTTCCTTGTCTGTGGAGAGGACGACATGGCGTGGCGCTAGAATAACTGAAAAATTGCACATTGAAGATAGTAAGTAGCTAGTCCCTCATGTTCCCTCGTTCATTCTTGTCAATTGACTCCTATCGACTGCTCCTCCGGATTCTGCAGTATTCAATGCTTACTGGAAATAATTTATAAAGCACCCAGTCGCCTGGGCTCGAAAATAAGTAGATAAATTTCGCCTTTTCCTGCCAAACTGTATCGAGTTATCATCCAGCCCAGCATTTCTGTTAGCCTATACTGGGTTCATTTTCCTTGGAGGTCATCAAGAAGTCATGTACAAACATTTTTGTCTAGTAGAAAAGTCAAGATGTACTTAGGAGACAATGACAATAAAGTATTCTCCCTTTAATGCTTATGATGTATCAATATTTTTAACATTGTATGGTGTACTTGTCTTTGCGACCGACTTGTCTAACATATATGTACTCACGGAAGCTGGGTTCGAATCCTGCTACGATGAGATCCACAATAAGTACCCTTTTTTTCTCTTCGGTGGTGACCATCTGGCATCCGAAGTAGGGTTGCGCACGAAACCTCCAGGGGGGGTAAGTAACCGTTAGTTACTGACCCCTCCCTGGGGGGGGGTTGGTTTTGCTACGGTAAGTTACCGTTACTTACCGGTCACATGATCTCTCACATGACCATTTCGCGCTAGCTTGTTTTTGACTTCTGCACTGCCGCCAGCGGTGGGTAATTTTAATAAAATAGTGCAGGCAGAAGAGGGATCAAGATAGGCTGGAAAGTTGGATAAGGATGAGGGAACATCTGGGGTGAGGATGCGGCGTTCAGAGACAGGCGGAATGACGAAGTCAATGATGTCTTTAAGTGTAGCAGTATCCGATGGTAACAACGATGAATAGTCTTCGGGTATAGCAGCGTGCTTCTCTAAGGAATTGACTAGCTGATGATCCGGAGTTGGCGGCACCATGGTGGGGTTACTATTCCTTGGTAGGGAAAATTGAAAAATTTTGCTGTAATATTACCACGTGACCGGTAAGTTACCTCGACAAAATACCCTCCACCGATGGGGGTGTAACTTACCGGTAACTTACCGGGAACTTACCGGGAATAAACCCCGGTGTATCAAAACCTAGGGTTTCGTGCGCAACCCTAATCCGAAGTTCGAAAGTAACCGTTAACCTCTTTCACTAGTAGCTGGCTCAGGAACTGATTAATCGTCCTACACAGATATGGTGTCATTCAATGTGCTAAAGGGATGATAATTCATTGAGCTGTTCGGTTTTCTTTACCTACACTACAGATTTATTCTCTGTTGCAAGGAAGGGGAACGTGTAATTTATTCAGCATAGTCCTTTTTGGCTTTTGGAGTGAGCGCAGAATACAGAAATGAATATTGACAGCCGCATATACGCATGGCCCAGTCGTATATTTCGATGGTAACCAAAGTCGGCGTATGCGCACAGTGAACATGACACCTCCACTCGACGACATTCTCCGCCCATTCCCGTTCCAAACGCAAACACCAAACTGAAGCGATTAGGTCCATTTCACCTCTCCTTGCACTCTCTATGGTGGGATGGAGGCAAGATATCCCTCTCGCCGATAGCTTAGCATCAACGTCTTTTCATATCCATTGACAAGTCTTGGTCCAGAGAGGACGAGAGATGGGGGAATATGATTCTGCGAGGGCGAGGGATAGCTGCACACTGGGATCAACAAGGGTACGACAGCGATGACCGAAGAATCCGCGGGAGGTAGAGAAGAAGTGGACGATGGACGCGGGGGCGAATCCACCACTGTATGAGACGACGAGCATCGGGGTGCATGTTCATCATGAGAGTTTGTGCCAGTCAGTTGGGCCATATTCGTGTCTGTCCCGTGTTGTCTGCTCAATCGATGCATGTTTGGTAACAAGGATGAGAACAAACGCATTTAGTGCTATTGACAGAGGTTAGCTATACCAAAGCGTAGAAGAAAAGACGCACTCGGTACCAAAGATATCATTGGTTTCTCTCCCTTCGATTTGCCTGGTCTCATCCTCAAGCGGGATTGGTGAGCTGTGTCCCAGACTCGGATGGGAGGTGTCTCTCTGGGAAAGATAGCTAGCTCGGGCGAGGTTTGTTTGGGTGAGCTAGCCAAGTTGTCACGATGCTTCCTTTTCCGATCCGACGCTCATTCCTTGGCAGCTCTTCAAGGCGTGCACGCGACAAAGCATGGTCCCCACCTCGTCCTCGCATATACTGCGTTCCTTCATCGAATACAGGACATGAGGAGGCGGTTAAGGAGGGTACATCTGGAGGAGAATGTCATTCCTTTTGCGATGATCCGTATCCAACGCCTGGTTCGGAAATCCGCGCTAGAGTCCTCATGAAAGGGGCTCCACGAGAACATCGATTTTGGTGGTTGGGATCTGTGCGCAGGTAAGGGTTGTTTCGAAAGAGGATAGCCACGAGGCGAGGCGGTGGCGGTTGAGAAGCCGGACGTCCCGAAATAGAAAACGCGTCTTTTGCCGGTACCTGAGCCTCCTGCCAGTACGCCTCACGTTCGCTTGCCGTCCGTTCGTTTTCGCCGTTAATACCAATAGGAACCGGAGGCCCTGAGGAAAAGAGCGAGTATATGAAGCTTTCAGTGACTTCCAACCGACCGACGTGTACTACCCTCCCGCTCTCGTCTTCTCATCATCTTCCGCAGCCTAGGTTCCTTATAAATTTGTGCTCGTTTCCAGCATTGCATCAAACTCACCCGAACCGCTACCGGCAAGATGCCCAAATCCTAGTTCCGCTCACCGATCCTATGAGACCAGAGGGAACTGGTGGAACAAATAGCCCAAATTGCAGGCAACGGTATCTTGGTGCCGAGTGTGCAGCACTAAACGTGTTCGTCTCATCCAAACACGAGAAGATATACCAATATGACTCCGCCACTCTCTCCTCTTCTCATATCTACGCACGCTTCCGCCCGTGGGTTCTTCACCGACTGCAGTCCTAGTATTCATATGGGACTGCGAGTACGTTGGGTCCAGGGAGTGTACCGATCCCGCGGCTCCCTGTCTATGGAGAGGACAACCTGGCGCGGCGCGAGAATAAGTAACTCCTCGTGGCTGAAAAATTGCACGTTAAAGATAGTCAGCATTCAGGTTCTCGAGTCCTTCATTCATTTCTTGTCAATTGATCCTATTGACTGCCTCCCCGGTATCCAACGCCGACTGGGAATAAAGTACCCAGTCCCCTGGGCTCGACAATAAGTAAATGAATTTCGCCTGTTCCTGCCTAACTGTATCGAGTATCGAGTGATTATCCACCCCAGTATTTCTGTTAGCGCAATGGTTAGTATACACCGCACGACATCCTCCCTTTGACGGAGCCTCTAAAGTGTTGTGGTCTATTGGTTATCATTCGGGACCAGTATCTTTTCAAGTGTGCCTACGGAGGTTGGGTTCGAATCCCAGTACGTGGAGTTTCAGTCTTTGGAGATGAGAGTTTTTTTTCCTTCTCTGCGATGACGACTGAGAACTCAGAACTTAGAACTGAGCAGTGAGCTCTCTCACTAGCAGCTGGCTCAGGATCTCCTTATTCTTATACAGTGTCATTCTATGCGCTAAAGAGGATCAGATACGATTGAGCCGTTCATTGTAACTTTACACCGGGTTCATTTCTCTTAGAGAGCATCACGAAGTCACGTACAAACATTTTCGTCCATTAAAAAAAGTCAAAATGTAGGAGACAACGGCAGCAAAATATCTTCCCTTTAATACAATATGTGAAGTCGTCAAAGCCTTGTGGTGTATTGGTTATCGGGAAGCGCCCGCCACCTCTTTTCGAAATGTGTTCACGGAATTGGGTTCGAATCCCAGTGCGTGAGGTGTGAGGTCGGAGCTCCGAAACGAAGTTGTTTTTGGTTTCTTTCTGGCAGTGCCGAGTCAACACTCTCTGAAACTGAGCAGTGAGCTCTCTCACCAGCAGCTGGCTCAGGAAGTTCGTTTGTTTTATTAGTGGTCGGTGCAAACTACTTATTCTTCCCATCCAGATAGAGTGTCATCCAATGTGCAGAAGAGATTTGAGATTTGATTCTAGTCAAGGATATTAATCTCTATACAAGCGACCAAAGTCAGCATGCGAACAGTGAACATGACACCTCCACTCCTCTGTCCATTCCCAGCCCAAACGCAAACACTAAACTGACGTGATTATGTCCATTTCATCTCTCCTTGCACTCTCTATGGCGGAATGGAGGCAAGATGTCCCTCTCGCCAATACCCAGTAGTCTCTCTTCATATCCACTGGCAAGTCCTGGTCCAGAGAGGAGGACGAAAGGTAGGGGAATACGATACTGCGAGGGCGAGGGATCGAAAACGTGGCCAGGGGTGATGGGGATCTGCATGACAGGGACGACGTTGACGAATCCCTGGGGGGTAAAGAAGAAGTAGACGATGGACGTGGGGGCGAATCCACCGCTGTATGAGAAGGGCGAGCATCGGGGTGAGTACAGATCTGGGAAGGCAAGTATGACAGACATGTTCATCAAGTGGCCGAGAAGAGTCAGGGAAGGGAAACTGTAGGCCAAAGTCGATGAGGCGGTAATCTGGAAAGGGACGCGAAGTTGGCGCACCAGTACCGGCCGCGCGGAGTACACGTCAGGCATGTGCCGGTGCTGGGCCTTATTGGCGTGTCTGCTAAATCGATACGCGTTTGGGAACGAACGTGTTTGGTGCTGTTAGAGGGAGTTCGCTATAGCAATACGTAGAGGAAAAGAAGCACTCCGCACCAAGATTTATCGACGCCCTTCCTTGTTCCATAATTTGCTGGATAACACCATTACCGGTGTATCTTATACCACAGGCAGCCTGGTCTCGTTGCACGGAATGGCATTGCGGAATTGATGAGCTCTGGCCCCGACTCGGATGAAAGTGAGTGAGAGGTGTATCGCCAGGAAACGGAGTTGGCACGCGAAGAGAAGAGAGCGTTGTGTTCGAGGGGAGCGTGATGCATTCGAAACGAGCGTGAGACTGAACATCCAAATTACTGCCGCCGTATGAGAAGACGAGGATCGGGGTGTTGGGCTGTGATGTGGGAGGGTGCAGGATTGGTGAGCTGTGTCCCCGACTCGGATGAGAGGTGACTCGGCGGGAAGCGTAGCCGACGTGCGAGGTGCACAGTCGTGTTTAGGTGAGGTGATGGTGGTGATGCCCGTGGTGGGTACCGACGCGTGACAAGTGGTACGGTACGGCACGGTACAGTGGTGAGGTGTGGGCGCCGTGTTTGTCACTCCTTCGCGTTTCTTCAAACTCAAAGGCGTGTACGCGGCAAAGTATCGCTTCCCACCTCGTCCTCACATGCACTACGTTCCCTCATCAAATACAGGACATGCCAACATCCAGGAGGCGATTGACAAGGGAGTACATCTGGAGGAGAATAGTACATTCCTTGTCATAATCCATGTGCAATACCTGATTTGAGAAATCCACGCTAGAGTCCTCGCTACGCTGCATGAAAGGGTCTCCGCGAGGGCATCAAGTTTGGTGGTTAGGATCTGTGCACAGGTAAGTGTCGTCGGTTTTCGAAAGAGGTTAGCCACGAGGCGAGGTGGTGCCAGTTTAGACGCCGGACGTCCCGAAATAGAAAACGCGTCTTTCGCCAGGACCTCCCTCAGTAAGGTAGGGCTAAAAAATCAGTATTAATTAACATCGGTTTATTAACATTGTTATTAACACGTTAATAACTTGTTAATAACAAGGGACCTCAACGCACCTTGTGAATAAAGGTGAATAAATCAGGCTCCTATGGTCGCTGTGCCGACTCATTCCACTGCCAGATAATTAACACTTTGCCATGCACAAAAAACTACACATTTTCTCGCTATCACCCGCTACAGGATCGGACGAGAAGCATGAATCTTGACCCTTCTTCCCGCACCAACTTCAGAAGCGGGTGCTGCACCAATGTTTTCGCAATTTCCGGCGTTACCAATGACATGGAGTCTTGTCAACAGTGTCTGGAAACACGTCAGAGGGACGATACCAAGGCCAATTGAGTCACTCTACAAGCAATTCTGGAATTTTTAACCAGTTTTTGGTTATTTCTTTGTTAGAAATCGCTTTTTTCGCATGTCATTCGCATTATTTCACAAGAGAATTATTAACTGTTAATAACCTGGTGAATAAATACCCTCTCGCGACCTGATGTTAAATAACATGTTATTAACAGGATCGGGAATTATTAGCCCTGCCTTATCCCTCAGTGCCTCACGTTCATTTGCCGTCCGTTTATTTTCCGCCTTTACTAGGAACCGGAGGCCCTGAGGAAAAGAATGAGTATAAATCTTCCGGCGACTGGGCGAATGCATACTCGGGACGACCTGTCAGGCTGGGGGCAATGACTGGACGCCGAATGACTCGTCTTATCACAGCTTGCCGTTGTCCACTGATTGATATCTAGATCTGGTATGTTCTGGTGGCACAAACATTGGTCCTATAAAAGGCCCCTACTCTTTCTCTCTTCTCTTCTCTTCTCTTCTCTTCCCCACCACCACCCCAGCAAACCCACTCCTATGCACCTGGTGCCTTTACTGGTATATACTCGACATCAATGATCCTCGTCGGTTGCTCATGACCGGTTCGCCACAATACGACCACTAACTCATGATCAGGCTTGTTCAATCTCTGGCTTTCAGCGTCTCTTCGACAATGGCGTACATCGACTATCAGTCTTGGCACGCATCTGACACAAACGCTATGAATCTGGGCGACTTTCTTCTGATAGGCCACACTACCCCGAAACTCTGTCGTGATCCTCTGAGCTATGCCACTGGAAGCACGATATCCGCCGTTTTATGTCGAATCTTTGTTGAGCCACATTTACACCTTCACATCACATTTGTGAAAGTAAGCATTCTGCTTCCTTCTCTTCTACACCACTCTGATCTGATTGTTAGATGCGATATGACGCATCCGAATACACCGTAACACTCACGGACGATTATTAGTGTTGCAAACAACCATCGACGAAGATATTCTCCGCGGCCTATTACGACGTAGGCCAGATCATGGACGAACTGGGGACTCTGTTCTACACCTCAAGTATATCCTTCGACAGCTCTGACGATCATTCGAGTTTATGTCCCTCGCAATCATCATTTGGTTGTATCGCCAAATCTATTCTCGTATATCAATGCGCAGCCTGTCGCGTCGTGTAAATCTTGTCTTGTTCTCTCACTTCGTTTGGTTGTCTTTCCAAACAATGACATGTATATCCTCGCGCAGCCTGTTGCCCCCTGTATTTTCGGTGCCGCCTTGCGAACAGTGTGTATAGTACAAGGGTCACTGGTGGAGGTAAGCCAAGTTGCTTTCATTCGTTTGCTGCTTGGACTGACATTTTGACCGCTAGTGAATTATCTCTTCTATGATCTCTCGGCAGCCGACTTCGCTTTTCTGGACTGGAGCTTGGCTCTCTGTTTCTGTCTTCAGGTTCCTGTCCGTCTCGGCATGGCACTTTGGGCACTGTCTCTTTAATTTATCTCTCCCGACCAGCAGTATTTGTCGTGGTAGGCTTCGAGACTACTGTCTCGAGCCTCAATTTTTGGAACTTCGGTCTGCTTCGTGCAGACTTTCCTCCTTTATACCCATTCGCGGAACTTACAGGTAAGTTTCTGAAGTTTTTGACATGCTATACGTGCTGATCTCTCCTATTCAGACTTGCTTCTCAGTGTTTTTTTTCCCGGCTTGTATATCGAGGACGTGTATTATCTTTATTTTTGAATGTTATTAGCAGGTGAAGGCAACTTTTCGTTTCTTGTTCAAGTTCTTATTGTTTTTCATCGTTTTTTTCCGCGTCGATCGACCTTCCATTCAAGCGTGTATTACAGTGCAGGTCAATTTTGTGGACTTGCTACGCGCCATAAGCCCGGCGGAGAGGGAAGATGTTTGTTGATGGTCTTTCCGTCAGAACTGGTGCTCAAGAACGATATGTAAGGCTCGTAATGGCGATAGGGAACGCGTCTGTGGCGTAGGACCCACGGCAAAATCTCTCGGCCGGAATGCCGCCACTTCGACGACCTCTTGAAGTTGTACACTGGACAGACGCGTCTTTTTTTTCTGAGCTCGGTCCACAGTGCCTGTGCTCATTGTTGTAGGGGAAGAAGACAAAAGTAGGCTCGTGAGTTTCGTATCAGGCTCTATGGAGAGGACACATCTTAAATTGTGCAGTCACCATTCAGTCGGGCGGTACGTATTTCCTAGGTGAAAGAAAGCAGTGTGAATCAGTCGATTTTGTGGTACATCGGTTTTGCATGCTGCCAGTGGGTTCGATTCCCGACTGACGAAATCATCCAAAAGACTTTGAGTTTTGCATCGCGGAGCGGCAATGAAATGAAAACTCCTGCTTTAGACCACGTACCTCCCAGCCAGAGGTTCAAACCCAAGCGAGAGATGAAAGAAGAGAAGAAAGATGTATCGTCCGCACTTAGTCCCCCGGAGACGGGGTTAATGTAAAAAGGAGATAGATCCAAGTATATATAACTCACCCTAGTCATGCCGCTGCTCGAATGAATTATGTTCGATCCACTGCCTAACTCCAATATCAGCGAACTCGTCATTCTCTAGCTTGGCATCACGGGTGATAGAACTTTCCCTCGAGCGGGTGCAAACAAGGGATGACAGCAGACTCCTCCAGCGTCTGCAGTGATAGAGCTCGAGTATTATAGTATCTGTAGATGTGGTATATGACCCAGAGAGAGGGACTGCGAGCTTGATATGGAAGGGCTAGAAGGTCCTAGGATGCCTGCCAGGTGGCCGGGTTGAATGTAGGTGTGAAGGAGAGTTCTCTACTACCCATCACAACGTCTCGTATGATGATGGAGAAGATAAAAGACGAGGCAGGGCTGTACATGTGCTGGCGTAGAACCTGCCATAGAAGAGACGGTGTGGAGCAGGAGAGTAGTGGCGTAGAGCATGTGATGAGTTCGTACGTCCGTATTGGTGTTTTCTCAGTCGACGGAGAAACAAAAATACCATTCACCGCCCTTCCTTCACAAATACAATGACTCGTCAACACGGGGATCAAATATTCGCAAACCGCCCGGTCCCGCAACGGATATAAGTTGGGAATCACAGAGAACATACAATATTATTCCTGAGTCAGTCAGATCTTTCAACTCGGAACGGTCGGTAGCGAAAATCATCCATCAGGTTCGCCCCCCCTCAAAAACTCATTCTTGATGTTTTCACCATCCCCACCGTCGTTTTCACTCCAGTGAGTACTCTCGCTCTCTCCCCTACTAAATGATGTTCTATCGACATCGCCCGACGTGTCTGTGCGACGAACACGACTGACCTATTTTTTGTTCATCTCCCATTTTTATTACCTGGACTGAACTCTATCGCAGGAGGGACTCGGACGTTTGGTGACGAGGGGACGTATAATTATGGTGCACGCTTTCTATTCGTAGCCAGCGCTTGATGGACATGTATTTTGAAGCTCTCGACGCAGGGAAAGAATCCTTGAGAGGGTGGCATCCGCTTTGGTCACGGCACTAAATTGTACAGGTCATCAGGACCCATTGCAGTTACCCTTCACTCATCATCGAATACAGGTCCAGGACGTTGAGGGAGCCAGGATATTCCTTGCGGAGGGGAACACAGATATCAAAGTGGAAGTTATTCACGGCCCATAGGATCATGAACACCCGAGTAGACATGAGGTCGTTAACCTGTACTATGCCGTCGTGGATGCGAGGGAGGTCACGATCGGAGGATGGGACGAAAGACTCGTATTCAGTTCTGATGCTCACTACCATCAACATTCCCGGTGAGTACTTATCCTTACTCTATCCCCTACGAAATGATGGCTCTATCGACATCGTCCAACGCGCCTGTATGACGCAAAACAAACGCGACTGATCAATCTCCTCTCATCATTTGATCGTTCATGTTTGCTTACCTGTTACTGTTCATAAGCCTCGGTAAACCCATCCGGTCCCGCGGCGTGAATACATGTCATTCCCAAGCCAGTCGATCCTTGTCGGCAGCGAGAACAATCCGTCCGAATCTCTCTCTCCCCCTCAAAAGCTGAATCGTCTTCAATTTCACCGCTACCAACTTCGCTGGTGAGTAATTTATTTTTACTCTGAACACCTACGAAATGATGTTCAATCTACATCGCCCAACGCACCTGTATGGCGAAATAAAAAGCAAACGCGACTGATCAGTTTTCCCATATCGTTCGAGGGTTCATGTTTTACTTACCGCTTTGCAGAGGTCTTGGTGACGGGGGGGATAATGATTGTTGTGCGTACTCGGTTTCGTAATGCTCCTAACCCGGCGCCTACGAACCATACCAAGAAAGATTCCGACTGGGTGGCACGAATCCTTCGTACGAGCTTTGATATTCGTCTCGTCTTCACATGTATCACCCTTCTCTCATCAAATATAGGTTGTGCCGGTCAAGACTGAGGAGGGAGTACAATGTAGACGTCAGATCGGAGATTATCCGTACTCCTGAGTAGACGGCCGCGTACCTGAGGCTGCGAATACGAGAATCGGGGAGGGGCTTTTCCTTTTGCGACAATCTATATCCAGCTGGTGCTGGCAGGAGTGAAACGACAAAAACGCTTCCCTATACGTATATGATCTCTGAGGGAATCGATCCCAGGGTGCGATGTATGCCAACCATTGCACTAACAGAGATCTTCATCGGCATCCGAACTCGGACAGATCACCCGGATGTGAGCGCATTCAAAAACGGAGACCCGTAAAATCTGGTTCGTGAGGGAGGCTGTCGGCTGTCGTCTTGGCATCGTGATGTTGGTTCACAGCAGGTTTTTGATGTGCCCGGGTCTAGGATTTTGAACTCTACACTGGGCGACAATAAGTTGGTGTTAGCAATGGCATAGGAATTTGTAGGAGTCTGTAGAGATGAAACGAAACCCTGTCGACATGATTTCGAGATATATACACTATGATTAGAAAGTAAAAGCTGAATATTCAATAGACAGTGGAATATAGAACATTATTATGAGCATCGTCCTCGAATAGGTCATACCGAATCTCTGCACAGAAAGGACGTCAGCAACGGCAAGTACCACCGAAGGATCTACTCACCATTACTTCCTTTAACCAAGATGGAGATATCCAATTCTTCCGCTTTCAACGATTTCAGATGATCAATGCACGACAAGGTTTGAGCAGCCTGGTCGCCGTTCTCCCCTACACAAGCTTCATCACACCGAATGCAAACCCGAGACAGCCCTGAATCTCGCCATCGCTTATCGATAATCTCAACCAAAGACTCATCCCACGTGAAAATCTTGCCTACACGCAGTCCAAGGTCAGACAAACTGGGGAGCACTGCACTTGTATCACCGAGGCACTTGAAAAACCTCGACGGATCCTTGTCATTGTCATCTGGAAAGAAGAGATGCAATTTGTGAAGCCGGGGAAGGTATGAGAATAGTTGAACAGGGTCCATGGAATCCCCCATTATGCAGATGTCAAGAGTCTGCAGCTGACTCCCAGAACACTCAAAGAATTGATGAAATAATGGGAGCGAACCTGATGGCCCAGGTTCCTCAGGGGGCATGGTGAATAATAGGTATTCCAATATGGGATAGACAAGGCATTGGAGTAAGCGAAACGATTTGACAGTCAATGAACAGAGCTTCTGGAGCGTCAGCGGGGAAATGGGATCTTGCTCCAAGCAGAGTGCACTCTGCTCAGTTAATTCTTCAAGGTTTGTACAGAGACGGAGAACCTTGATGATGGCCCCCCGGGTGGCACCGTCGTTCTCAAAGACAGACAAGTGCAAGTGTGTGAGATGCGACCAAGGAAAGGGCATTTTATCTGGATGGAAATGCATCGGTAGGGGTATTAGAATTATAAATCGGAGGTGTCTGAGGATGGGTGCGTGGTTAAATATGCTGAGGGTGGCGTGGAGACCCTTGGGAAAATGAGCATCCAGGTGAAGTGACTTCAGTAAGGGAAAACGGGCAGGAGAGGAATCAGTGAATCGTGACCATTGGCGGGCCCAAATATCAACCATACGGCCTGAGAGTCTGATGTTTTCCCATTGTGGCGCATGCTGCAACAGTGTCTGGGTGATGGCGTCGGCGCGATCATGGCAAAGTATATCTGCATCAATGTCCATGGACAGTCCGCTCTGCCTGGCCCGGTGTAACGCCTCCTGGAGTATCCTTACTTCGACATCCAGCCGCTCTGTTCGACTCCGTTGTCGTGGCAAGTTAACTTTAAAAGATGACCATAGCGCAGGATAGCACCAAGCGATATCTCGCCACCAGCGGCAGACTCTCCCCAGTAGCCATGGACCCCCGGTCATGAGAATGGAATATGGATCGTCTTTGAATGTGAGGAGGAATATTTTGGAAAGGATTTCAGGAGGGAGGGAATGGATGGGCGAGTTGGGTTCAGGGATGGCTTGCGATTGGATATTAAGGATAAGAGATTCCTCCGCATTAGTACCTAGAGAAACACAATATTCGTTAGCAGTAGGACTGATAAAAGTATGACTCCTCGTTCTCACATCTTGTCATCGTCATCTTGGCCAGAAACGTGTGCTTCTCCTCTTCTGATGAGGTTCGTGAGAGAAGTTGTCGTTCGGGCGTCGTGATATTGATTCACACCAGTGTTCCTGGATATAGGATTGGTTTTGGCGACACCGACACGTTCAAATGCACCGTTGAGATCGGGAAGCTTGAACTGGTAGCAGAGGAAACGGAGAACTCAGTCGTTCCCAGGCTACTTGAGATGAGCAGACGTAGCTGCAGCGCCAGACCAGGCGGTACCCAAACAAAGAAGGAAGTAGGTGAGAGGCAACGGAGGAACAGAACCGAGTGAGAACGAGATCATAAAGGAAGACAAGTACTATCGAATTCAGAACGGAATGGCAGGGCCAGATGTCACGCTGTTTGGCATGCTTCGTTGAGCCAAATATCCCGGGAAATGCCGGGGCTTCGGAAGATCAAGAGATCCGATCTCTACGCCAATCAAGCTCAAGCTTCAAGCTTCAGGTCCAATTTCACCTTGAACTCGACTTTCATCCGCGTTACTATCTGCCATAAACTTGCGCCTGTTTCGATTGGTCTCTAGCTTTGTGTCAAGCTCAAGTTCACCCGAACACAGCACTTTTAAATTTCCTTGCGGCAAGCCCCTCAATCCGCTCAGCTCACTAATGATGAGCGCTTGAGCGCTAGCCCAGGTTTCTTGCAGTATAAGATACACGAATAGTGACAGTGAACATCCAGCAAACCATGGAGCAGGTAGCCCAAATAGAAGGGAGAGAAATCAACGATATTTTGCTGCCAAGTGCGTCTTTCCTCCTGCGTTTTGATATAACTAACCTCTGTCAATAGCACTAAACACGTTCGTTCCTATCCTCGAATCCAAACGTGCGCCAATTGAGAAGACCATGTGAAAAGCACACCGATATGGCCCAAGCGACCAGCACAAACTCGACGTGTACTACCCTCCCGCTCTCGTCTTCTCATACGGCGATGGGTTCCGCATCCATCATCTCCATCATCTACCGCAACCTAGACTCCTTATAAATTCGCGCTCGTGCTCATTTCCAGCATCGCGTCAAGCTTACCTGAACCCAGTGACACTCCACGCCACCGGCAAGACGTCCAATCCTAGGTTCAGCTCACCAATCCTGCACCAGAAGGAAATGGCGGTAAAATATGGCCCAAATCGAAGGTAACGATATCTTGGTGCCGAGTGCAGCACTAAACATGTTCGTCTCTATCCTCGAATCCAAACGCGAGAAGACATACCAATACGACCCCACCACTCTCAACATCCCGCTCCTCGTCTTCTCATATCTACATTGTCGCACGCAGGGTTCATCCCTGACTGCAGTTTCCTAGTATTCGTATGGGACTACGAGTACATTGGGTTCAGGGAGCGTACCGATTCCGTCGCTCAGGCTCCCTGTCTGTGGAGAGGACGACATGGCGTGGCGCGAGAATAAGTGACTCCTCGTGGCCAAACGATTGCACGTTGAAGCAGTCAGCCCCTCACATGCAGCTACGACCCCTAGTTCATTCTTGTCAATTAATTCCTATCGACTGCTTCCCCGGTATCCAATGCCGACTGGGAATAAGGTACCCAGTCCCCTGGGCTCGACAATAAGTAAATAAATTTCTCCTGTTCCTGCCAAACTGTACCGAGTTATCATCCATCCCAGCGTTTCTGGTAGCGCATACTGGGTTAATTTTCCTTGGAGGTCATCAAGAAGTCATGTACAAACATTTTCGTCTAGTAGCGTTGTTTGAAAAGTCAAGATGTACTTGGGAGACAACGGCGATAAAATATCCTCCCTTTGATGTTTATAATACTTACATAATACTTTTGTGGCATTGGGTGGTGTAGCTGTTATTAGGATTGGCTTGTCTCAAGTGTATGTGCTCACAGAAGCTGGGTTCGAATCCCAGTAGGGTGAGGTAGAGGGATTCAAAATAGGTTTTTTCCCCCTTTCGGCGGTGACAATCGACCGCTCAGTGAGCACTGAGCTGAGAGCTCTCTCACTACTCTTTTTTCCTATCCAGATACAGTGTTATCCAACGTGCTAAAGAGATAAAATTTGAACGAGCCGTTCATTTTACTTACCTACTACAGATCCATTCTCTGTTACAAGGAGGAGGGACATTATTCCGCGTAGTCCCTTTTGGCTTTTGGAGTGAGCGCGGAATACAGAAATGAACTTTTATTGAACATTGCCAGCGGCGTACAGGTATGTCCTATATCTCCATGGTTCTGTATTCAATGAGTCAAGGTTGTTTGCACAGATCCCTGTCCCAGCGACCAAAGCTGACGTGCGCGCAGTGAACATAGCACCTCCACTCGATGACATCTTCTGCCCATTCCCGTCTGAAACGCAAACACCAAACTGAGGTGATTATGTCCATTTCATCGCTCCTTACTCTCCATGGCGGGATGGAAGCAAGATATCCTTCTCGCCAGTAGCCAGCAACGTCTTTCCATATACATTGGCAAGTCCTGGTCCGGAGAGGAGGACGAAAGGTGGGGGAATACGATTCGGCGAGGGCGAGAGATCAAAAATGTGGCCGAGGGTGATGGGGATCTGCACGGGTGGATCAACAAAAGGACGACAATGATGAATCCCCGAGAGGTAAAGAAGAAGTAGACGATGGACGTGGGGGCGAATCCGCCGCTGTATGAGAAGGGCAAGCATAGGGGTGAGTACAGATCTGGGAAGGCAAGGATGACGGACATGTTCATCGTGTGGCCGGGAAGAGTCGGGGATGGGAAGGTTATCCAGAGTCGATGAGACGGTAATCAAGGATAGGACACCGAGTTGGAGCACCAGTGTTGAAGCCGCCGCCATGAGAGAAGACGAGGGAGGGAGTAGACACCAAGTTTCTGCCGGTCGGTTGGGCCATATTCGCGTCTGTCTCGTGGTTTGCTCAAAATGCGCGTTCGGATTCGAGGGTAAGAACGAATGCGTTTAGTGCTATTGACAGAGGTTAGGTATAGCAAAAAGTAGGAGAAAAGATGCACTCCGCACCAATATTTATCGACTCCCTTCGATTTGAACCACTGCTTGTTTCATGATTTGCTGGATGCCACCATTAACTGTGCATCTTATACCGCAAGCAGCCTGGTCTCATTGCACGAAGTGTCATTGCAGAATTGGCGAGCTGTGGCCTCGAGTCAGATGAGGATAAGGAGAGGTGTTTCTCTGGGAAACATAGTCGGCGCGCGAAGAGAAGAGAGCGTTGTTTTTGAGGGGAGCCTGATACAATGCTGGGGGGCCATTCGAAACGAGCGTGAGCTTACGTGTATGGGGAAAGCAATGCTGTTCAAGGCGCAACTGACCATCCAAATTACCGCTGCCATATGGGAAGACAAGGACCGGGGTGTTGGGCTGTGGTGTAGGAGGGCAGGGTAGTACATGTCGAGTTTGTGCTGGTCAGTTGAGCCATATTGGTATTTCTCACGCTTGGTCGATCGATGGGCATCTGGATTCGAGGATGGGAACGATGACGCATTTAGTTCTATTGACAGAAGTTAGTTATAGCAAAATTTAGGAGAAAGACGCACTTGGCATCAAGATATCATTGATTTCACGATGTTGTTGCGGGATTGGTGAGCTGTGAGGTGTCTCGCCGGAAAATATAGCTAGCGAAGTCACGAAGTTGTCACGATGCTTCCTTTTCCGATCTGCCGTGTTCGGTACTTTCAAGCTCAAAGGCTTGCGCGCGACAAAGTATCGGTATGGTCCCCACCTCGTCCTCACATGCACTGCGATCCCTCATCAAATACAGGACATGCCAATATCGAGGAGGCGGGTGAGAAGTGGGAGGGGAACAGTGCATTCCTGTTGCGATGACTCATATCCAACGCCTGGTTCAGGAAATCCGCACGAGTCTCCGAAGGGGTCCTCACTACGCTGCATGAAAAGGTCTCTGCGAGGGCATCGAGTTTGGTGGTTAGGATCTGTGCACAGGTAAGGGTCGTCGGTTTTCAAAAGAGGTTAGCCACGAGGCGAGGCGGTGCCAGTTTAGACGCCGGACGTCCCGAAATAGAAAACGTGTCTTTCGCCAGGACCTCCTTCAGTGTCTCACGTCCATTTTTCGTTCATTTATTTTCCGCCTTTACTAGGAACCGGAGGCCCTGAGGAAAGGAACGAGTATATAAATCTTTCAGTGACTTGGCGAATGTTCCAGGGATCAGCATGCATGCTCAGGACCTGTCAGGTTGGGGGGCGATGACTAGGCCCTGAATGACTCGTCTTATCACAGCTTGCCCTTGTTCAGTGATTGATCCCGAATGGTGATCTAGATTTGGTATGTTTGGGTGGCACAAACATTCCTCCTATAAAAGGCCGATGTGGTTTCCCCCGCTGTTTCTCTTCCCTACCACCACCCCGACCAATCCACTCCTATGCACCCGGAGCCTTTACTGGTATATACTCGACATCAATGCCGCTTGTCAGTTGCTCACGATCGCTTCATTACAATACGACCACTAGCTCATGACCAGGCTTGCTCAAGCTCTGGCTTTCATCGTCTCTTCGATAACGGCGTACATCGACTATCAGTCTTGGCACGCATTCAACACACAAACGCTATGAGTCTGGGTGACTTTCTTCTGATAGGCCACTGGCGCCACACTACCCAGAAACTTGGTCGCGACCCTCTGAGCTATGCCACTGCTCAAATCTTGATAGTCTCTCAACGCCACCGTTTTATGTCGAATCTTTGGCGAGCCACATTTACACCTTCACGCCACATTTGTGAAAGTAAACATTCTGCTCCTTTCTCTTTTACACCACTCTGATCTGATTGTTAGATAGGATATGATATCGCACATATGAATCGACCGTAACACTCCCAGACGATTACTAGTGTCGCCAAATACCATCGATGATGATATTCTCAGTGACCTATTACAAAGACATCTGCCGGCGAACTGGGGACTCTGGGTGCTATGTGAACGACTAACACTGCCGCGGAAACTACACCACAAATATATCACAGCATTGCATAATGGTGAGCGCATATCCATTATCATACCTTCGACAGCTCTGATAGTCATTCTAGTTTATCTGCAAGATGTTCCTCGCCGTACAAGTTGATCGTTGCGAATATTGAAGAGGTTGACTTGAAGATCATCTCGTCGACTGAGGCTGGTCTCTTTGTGAACAACATACGAAACCATCTTGCGCATCTAAAGCCAAGAATTATACCTGACTTTCTGGCGCGACTAACACGTTTTCACTGAGCGCATCATCACCCATGCTCTTTGTTCTCGCCTTCCCTTTCTTTGTTGCATCGCTGGTGGCCGATGCGTATCACACTGAAATCATCATTTGGTGGTATTGCCAAGTCTATTCACGCAGCCTGTTTTGCGTCATGTAAATCTTGTCGTCTTCTCTTTTCTTTCCTTTCGTTTGGCTGTCTTTCCAAACCAATGTCATGTATATCCGCACGCAGTCTGTTGCACCCTGTATTTTCGGTGCCACCTTGCGGACAGTACACAGGGCCGCTGGTGGAGGTAAGCCCTACTTCCATTCGTTTGCCGTTTGGACTGACATTTTGATTGCTAGTGATTGATCTCTTCTGTGATCTCTTGACGACGGACCGATTCTTTGAACTGGGACTTCGCTCTCTGTTTCTTGTCTTTTGAAGTTCCTGCCCATCCTGACATAGCGCTTTGGGCACTGTCCCTTTAATTTATCTCTCCCGGCCAGCAGTATTTGCCGTGGTAGGCTTCGAGACTACTGTCTCGAGCCTCAATTTTTGGAACTTCGGTCTGCTTCGCGCAGACTTTCCTCCTTTATACCCATTCGCGGAACCACAGGCAAGTTTCTGAGGTTTTTGACATGTTATCCGTACTGATCTCTCCTATTCAGACTTGCTTCTCAGTAAAATTTTTCCTGCCTTGCAGTTAAGTTGGCGAACACGCCTCTTCACACGATGCATATGTTGGCGTTAGGTGCTTGTATATTTTAAATTTGTCTGGCGGGAGGTACCAGGGTGGCTTGTATATTGAGGACGTGTATTTTCTTTATTTTTGAATGTCATTAGCAGGTAAAGGCAACTTTTCGTTTCTTGTTCAAGTTCTTATTGTCTTTCATCGTTTTTTTTTTTTTTGCGTTGATCAAACTTCCATTCAAGTCTGTATTACAGTGGAGGTCTATTTCGTGTGACTCGCTACGTGCCATAAGCCCGGGGGATGTTTGTTGATGGTCTTTCCGTCAGAACTAGTGCTTAATAATAAGAACGGCATGCAAGGCTCGGAATGAGGATATGAAATGCGTCTGTGGCGTGGGACCCACGGCAAAATATTTCGGCCCGAATGCTGAACAGACGCGTCTTTTTTTCTAAGATCGATCCACAGTGCCTGTGCTCATTGTTGTAGAAGAAGACAAAAGCAGGTCCGTAAGTTTTGTATCAGACTCTATGGAGAGGACACATCTTAAATTGTGCACTCACTATTCAGTCGGGCGGTATGTATTTCCTAGGTGAAAGAAAGCAGTGTGAATCAGTTGGTTCTGTGGTACATCGGTTATGCATGCCGCCAGTGGGTTCGATTCTTGACTGACAACACCATCCAGAAGACCTTGAGTTTTGCATCACGGAGCAGCAATGAAATGAAAACTCCTGCTTTAGGCCACGCACCTCAGATATTCGGACCCAGGCAAGAGACGAAAGAAGAGAAGAAAGATGTATCATCTGCACTCAGTCCCCCGGAGACGGGGTTAATGTAAAAAGTAGATAGATCCAAGTATATATAACTCACTCCAGTCATGCCACTGCTCGAAGGAATTATGTTCGATCTACTCCCTAACTCCGAAATCAGCGAACCCATTATTCCCTAGCTTGGTATCACAAGTGACAGAATGTTCCTTCGGGCGGGTGCAAACAAGGGATGACACCAGGTTCCTCCAGCGTCCGCAGTAATATAGCTCGAATATGTTCTCTTTAGATGTGGTGTATGGCCCAGAAAGGAAGACTGCAGGTTTAATTATGTGGGGGTTTAATGGGAGGGCTACTAGGCCCTAGGATGTCTGCTGGGTGGCCGGGTTGAATGTAGATGTGAAGGAGAGGGAGAGGTATCTGGTACCGCATTGTGACATCTTCAAGAACGATGATGAATAATGAGATGAAGGGAGGGGAGGGGACTGTGTGGGTTTCAGCATGGAACCCGTCATGGTATGGGGTGTGAGGTGTCGAGTATGTGATGATTCGTGTGTTCGTACTAGTGTTTTCTCGGTCGATGGGGGAAGCAAATTAGCCCTTACCCCCTTCCTTGGATCTATACAATGACTCGTCATCCCCGAGCAACACAGGGATCAAATATTCACAAACCACCTGGTCCCACAACGGATATAAGTCGTGAATCACAGAGAACCTACAATATTATTCCTGAGTGAGTCAGTGCTTGGAATGGCTGGTAGCAAGAGTCATCCGTCAGCTTCGCTCTCCCTCAAAAGCTCAGTGTTCAGTTCTTAGTGCCTTCACCATCCCCACTGTCATCTTCACTCCAGTGAGTACCCTCATCCTCTCCCCTACCAAATGATGCTTTATCGACATCATCCAATGCATCCGCATGGCGAAAAAAAATAAACATGACTGACCTACTTATTTTTGTTCATTGTTCCTGATTTTAATTTTTTGGCTCACCTGCTTTGAACTCCATCACAGGGAAGAACTTTGTTGATGAGGGGGCGTATAATTATGGTGCACACTTTCTTTTGTTAGCATTTTATATTCAGCATTTGATGAATTCTTTTCAGAAGTTCTCGATGCAAAGAAAGAGTCGAGGATGCACCCTTTGGTTATGGGGGTCCTGGCAATGAAATGTATGGTCGTCTGTATCCATTGCAATTATCCTTCACTCATCACATACAGGACGAGGGAGCCAGGGCCTTCATTGTGGAGAGGAACGCCAATGTCAAAAGTGGAGGCTATTCACGGCCCAAGGGATCATGAATACCTGAGTAGACATGAACCTACCATTAACCTGCATAGAGGCCATGGATATGAAGAAGGTCAAGCACTCGGGTTCAACTTGGATGATCGGGCAAAAGACTTGTGCTCAAGTCTGGTGTTCACCACTGCTGGTGTTTTCACTGCAGTGAGTATCTTGATACACCTGCCTGGTGTCTACCCTTGGAAAACATGTATAAATCTAATTTATTATCCTACAAACTATGTTTGTAGCTGTGCGAGTAAGAAAGAACCTGCAAGGTACACAGCAAGGAGTGTTGAACCCCACTGCATCAGTAAGGACTTAGCCATGACAAGCCTAAGAGCTCGGGCAACAGACCAGTGATCTGATGACTCAGCCTGAGTGACTGAAGGTCCAGGCAGGTCGAAAGCACATGGCTCCAGCCAAACCGGCATCCCGGCACTGATGGCCACCTGATGGCATCAGTCCAAAAGTAAGAATAACAAAACAAAGAACGATCACATACGGCTTTACTTACCTGGCAGCTTTCCTAATCTCTCAGGTGGACGGTTGGCTTGCCAGGTAGATGAGAAACAAGAACTGTAACACCAGGGGCTCTGCCCCGGTACAGGTAAAACTTAGTATCATGAGCCAGGACACCAGGTTGTGGCACAAGATCATGATCGGGTTCACCTGGGAGCTGGGATATGAGCTCATATCCACCCGGTGTTGCGACTGCAGCCTATTTACGCATGTAATTTTGCAATCTAGAGTGTTTTACACGCATACTGAGAAATAGTGAGTGAGCAGACTAAAACTACGTGTCGACACTAATGCTACGCGGTGCAATGATATGGAATATAACTTATGGCATAAGAAGCAACGGGATTCTAAACAGGACTTAGTCACAGCACTGTACCTGACGGGCATGCATGATGAGAAGGCCAAACCCTATACCCAATGCCTTAGGCTCTAACTTACAAGCACACTCATGGGAGCTAGATAAAACCTTGAAGATTGCACTGGCACTGAGAACACTTAGCGCGCTCGCTAACTGTGATGCGCCGTACCTGAAAATCCAGGGAAATCCTTAAGCGAGCTGACAGATATCACCGGCACGAGCTTGGGCAATGGGCTTCGGCCGAAGTCTGCGAGCCCGCGTTCCATTGTTCTGAGTCCCATTGTTCGAAGACTCACTTGTTGCCATGTCTACGAGAAGCCTCTGTGAATCCAAGAAAGAAGTCCTGAACAACATATGCCAGAACTGATAGTTCCATGCGCCTAGACCTGTCGGTCGCTAGAGAACGAGCCCGCGGGTGTCGGGAGAGCACCTCTTGGCACGCGTTTAGCGAGCTCACTATAGAAATGAGACTAAAACTGGGAAGTCCGACTCGGATGCTCAGTAAGGCAGTGGTGGCAATGTGCTACGCATGTAGGAGTCTGGGTACTGTGCGACATTTGTAATTCTAATTCCCCTGTAGTATAAGTAGACTGGTTACAGTAGGTAGAGGCCAAGTTTCGAGCCCCCGAGTTCCCGTGCATGCGTTGAAGGCGGTACTGTAACAAAGGATCAGTTTGTGACTTTGAGCTGTGCGTAGAATTAGCGAGCTCACTCAGAGAAATACGAGATACCCTTTTGATAAGACTTTTGAGAACTTAGTCAGAGTGAATACGAATCAGTGACGCTGTTTCTGTTCTGTTGAGTGTGATAAGTCTGTTCGGAGAATGTGTTGAAGTGGAAATCTGAGATCTGTTCTGTTCTGTTCTGTTCTGTTCTGTTTCAGTCTGTTCCGTGTCAGTTCTGTTCGAAGTTCCGTTTCTGAATCTGTTTTCCGAGCACTTCTGAAGTGTTCTTGAGTTGAGATAACCTGCGGGAGTTAGTTGGAGAACCCCTACATACAGTTGTGTAGCGAGTGGGCTAAGTCAGTGCTTACCTGTGGTGTTCTTTTAGCAAGCTCACTAAAGTTTCGGCGTGTATTGCCTCTGTTTCTGTTGGGATCAGTGTCCCTTGTGTATTATACCTCAAATCTGCCTTGAAGGTTGCATCGCACCAGTGAACGACCTTCCTGTAAAAAGTTCCTAGACTTAGGAGGTCATTAGAGAAAGCTTAGCTTCGCTAAGAGCGTGGGGAATAAGAGAAACTCTTCGAGATATTGAAGTATAGTTGGATTGCATTAGAAATAATCGCTCCCCCTAGAACTTACGAGGGTGATTGTAGTTTGTGTAGTTGTGTGAGTGTGTGTGTGGGTTTTTGAGGTTCGCCTTTTAGCCCGCTCACTATTCCACAGGTGCCCACAGCCAGCCTCTTCACCGGCTCAGTCAGCGAGTGCAGTAATAGTACCTGGAAAGATTGGAAATATAGATAGGGTAGAATAGTATAAATACTGTCCATGTAACTAGCGGGAGGTCAGGTTTCTGGCCCCCGGAATGCTACCAAGCAAATTAGTATGGGTTTTGGTTAAGAGCTTCGAGTCCTAGACTCACCTGGAATAGTATTTAGTGACCTGGTCATGTTTTGTGTGCAAGAACCATTCAGAAAGCAGTCAGTTCAGAAAGATACAGACAGACAGTCAGAAGTACAGTCCAGAATCCATGTTAGTATCAGTAAAACTGCAATCAGGCAGACAGTATCAGTTCAGACACTGCACCAGGCAGCTAGTACGCATTCAGGAAACTACACCAGGCAGCCCATTAGTATCAGATTGTGTTCAGTAACACAGAAAGTTCAGATTTGTGTCGTTTCAGAATATTGCAATCAAACAAATTATATTCATTGTCAACCCAGAACTAGTATCCACAGTACAAGTATCGATCCGGTGTAACTTACTCCTTTGAACTGCAATTATTGAGTGTGTTAGGGTGTGTGTGTGTGTGTAGCACTTCGCCTTCCTTAGCATAGTTAGTACCTTTCAATCTTTACTCTGTTCTCTGTGAAATGATGCTTTACCGACATTGCCCAACAGGCCTGTATGACGAAAAACAAACACGACTGATCAACCTTCTCCCATCATTTGATTGTTCATGTTTTGCTTACCTGCTACTATTTTCAAGCCTCGGTAAACCCACCTGGTCCCACGACGGACACTGAGAATACACATCATTCCTAACCCAGTCGATCCTTGCTGGCAGCAAGAATAGTCCATCAGACTCTCTCCCTCAAAAGCTGAATCATATCCAGTTTCAGTTCTACACCACCACTACCAATGTCAGCAGTGAGTGACTGATTTCTACTCTGTCCCCCTATGAAATGATGCCTTATTGACATTGCCCAACGTGCCTGTATGATGAAAGAAAAAAGCAAACGTGACTGATCAGTTTTCCCTTATTGTTCAAGCATTCATGTGTTGCTTACCCGCTTTGCAGAGGTCTTGGTGACGGCGGGAGGAGGGGGACATAATGATTATGTGTGTACTTGGTTTCATGATGCTTCCTAACCCGAACCATGGCAAAGAAAGGTTCCGAATAGACGGCACGAATCCTTCATATGAGCTTTGACATTTGTCTCGTCCTCACACGTATCACCCTTTTCTCATCAAATACAGGATGTACCAGTATTGAGGACAAGACTGAGGAGGGAGTACAATGCAAATGCCAGATTGGAGGTTATCTGTACTCCAGAGTAGACGGCTGAGCACCTGAGGCTGCAAATACGAGAATCAGGGAGGGGCTTTTCCTTTGCAACTCCTTTGCAACAATCTATATCTGGCACTGGCAGGAGTGAAATGACAAAAACACATCCCTATACATGCATGATCTCTGAGGGAATCGATCCCAGGGTGCGATGTATGCCAACCTTTGCACTAACAGAGATCTTCATCAGCATCCGAACTTGGACAGATCACCCAGATGTGAGCACATTCAGAAACGGAGACCCGTTAAATCTGGTTCGTGAGGGAGGCTGTCGACTGTCTTTTTGGCGTCATGATGTTGATTCATTCACAGCAGGTTTTTGGTGTTCCCAGGTCTAGGATTTTGAGCTCTACACACACCAGGTGGGGGACAATAAGTTGGTGTTGGCGCTTGGGCAATGGATCCATGTGGCATATGAGTTTGTGCAGATGACATTAAACCCCTCGGCTTGATTTCGAGATATATGCACTTGGTATTAGGGAGTAAAAGCTGAATATTTAATGGACAGTGGAATATAGAACATTGTTATGAGCACCATCTTCAAGCAGGTCATACCAAATCTCTGCACAGAAAGGGCATCAGCAACGGCAAGTACCACTGAAGGATTCACTCACTAGTACCTCCTTTAACCAAGATGGAGATATCCAATCCTTCTGCTTTCAACAATTTCAGACGATTGAAGCACATCAAGTTTTGAGCAGCCTGGTCACCATTCACCCCTACACAAGCTTCATCGCATTGGATGCAAACCTGAGACAGCCCTGAATCTCGCCACCACTTAGCGATAATTCTGACCAACAACTCATCCCATGTGAATATCTTGCCTACATGCAGTCCAAGGTCAGACAAACTGGGGAGCACTGCACTTGTATCACCGAGGCACTTGAAAAACCTCGACGGATCCTTGTCATTGTCATCTGGAAAGAAGAGATGCAATTTGTGAAGCCGGGGAAGGTATGAGAATAGTTGAACAGGGTCCATGGAATCCCCCATTATGCAGATGTCAAGAGTCTGCAGCTGACTCCCAGAACACTCAAAGAATTGATGAAATAATGGGAGCGAACCTGATGGCCCAGGTTCCTCAGGGGGCATGGTGAATAATAGGTATTCCAATATGGGATAGACAAGGCATTGGAGTAAGCGAAACGATTTGACAGTCAATGAACAGAGCTTCTGGAGCGTCAGCGGGGAAATGGGATCTTGCTCCAAGCAGAGTGCACTCTGCTCAGTTAATTCTTCAAGGTTTGTACAGAGATGGAGAACCTTGATGATGGGCCCCCATGGGGTGACACCATCGCTCTCAAAGACAGACAAGTGCAAGTGTGTGAGATGTGACCAGGGAAAGGGCATTTTGTCTGGATGAAATTGTAACAGAAGGGGTGCTAGAACTATAAATCGGAGGTGTCTGAGGATGGGTGCATGGTTAAATAAGCTGAGGGTGGCATGGAGACTCTTGGGAAAATGAGCATCCAGGTGAAGTGACTTCAGTAAGGGAAAATGGGCAGGAGAGGAATCAGTAAATCGTGACCATCGGCAGGCCCAAAGATCAACCATATGGCCTGAGAGTCTGATGTTTTCCCATTGTGGTGCATGCTGCAACAATGTCTGGGTGATGGCATTGGCATGATCATGGCAAAGTATACTCACATCAATATCCATGTACAGTCCACTCTGCCTGGTCCAGTGTAGCGCTTCCTGGAACATCCATACTTCGATGCCCGGCCGCTCTGTTCTCCACTGCCGCTCTGGCAAGTCAACTTTAAAAGATGACCACAGTGCAGGATAGCACCAAGTGATATCTCGCCACTGGCAGCAGACTCTTCCCAGTAGCCAGGGACCCCCAGTTGCGAGAATGGAATATAGATCGTTTTTGAATGTGAGGAGGAATATTTTAGAAAGGATTTCAGGAGGGAGGGAATGGATGGGCGAGTTGGGTTCAGGGATGGCTTGCAATTGGGTATTAAGGATGAGAGATTCCTCCATGTTAGTACCTAGAGAAGCGCAATATTCGTTAGCAGCAGCACTGATAAAAGTATGATTCCTCATTCTCACATCCTGTCATCATCATCTTGGCCAGAAACATGTGTTTCTCCTCTTCTGATGAGGTTCGTGAGAGAAGTTGTCATTCAGGCATCGTGATATTGATTTACACCAGTGTTCCTGGATGTGGGATTGAATTTGGTGACACTGACACATTCAAGTGCAACATTGAGATCAGGAAGCTTGAACTAGTAGCAGAGGAAACTGAGAACTCAGTCGTTCCCAGACTACCTGAGATGAGCAGCTGCAGTGCCAGACCAGGAGCTACCCAAACAAAGAAAGGAGTAGGTGGGAGGCAATGGAGCAACAGAACGGAGTGAGAACGAGACTACAAATGAAAATACTACCGATCCAGTAGCGGCAGTTGCTGGGTCCCCGATTCTTTCCTTTTGTACAAAGAAATGGCTGTGGCAAGTTGTATCCTTTTTGTAAATCTGTGTGAACGTGCTTGTTCAAGCTGAAATATATAATACAGCTTGATTGAAACTGGAAATGTGGTCGTGCAAAAAGCTCGCTTGGCAGCTGTGCTGCCACCTTGCATTTTGCACAATCTAACATCTAGTCCGGGCTGTGGTATGCTATGCTTTTGCTCTCCATTTGAATCTCTGTCCATCCCTGCATGTGCATTAGGTCTTGAAAATGAAATATTCCCTACTGCTACATTGTACCATGCAAATCAAGTGGGAGGCTCAGTGCAATCATGGCAAGTCCAAATCCTCAATCGATTTTATGAATTCAAAAATATCATAGATGGATGAAAGGTAGCTAAAGGTACACATGCAGCATGTAGCTGGCACTGTAGCAACTCCCCTCGCTGCCTGCATCCCACTCAGACATCAATGCCACTCTGAATATCTTGTCTAACCTGCATACACTCAAAGGTAACTCTACTCCATGCTCCCTGCATGCCAAAATGCCAGTCCCAGCCAAGTAGATCATCAGTATTGACGTATCATGGCAGGTTCTTGATTGTTGTGTGCCTGTGCAAATTCGAACCGAACCTAAAAAGAAAAAGAATCATGTTAAAGATAGATAGATAGATAACTGGTCTAGGTCCCAAAGAGGAACATGGGCGCTCTGTGCCGACACAGAACATGTCACAGACCACAATCCCTCATGCCACTGTGATATCCTCAGTCACCAGCCAAGAATGTCTCATGGATTTGAAGGAATTGCAGGGACAAATCACAGAAAAGTATGCATAATATGTACCAGAAGGAAAGACATCACAGTGAGATAATTGCAATTAAGGACCCCAATGTGGGGACACCATGGCATTTGTATAGAGCATCGCCAGTGTAGCATCATGAACGACGTGGGGAGCAACGATAAGGACAGTATACTAGGGTGTGAAATGTGGAGATGTGCGATGCCTTCTTTCTGTATACAGTGAAAAGGCTCGGCAGCCTGCAAAGAGGAAGAGGGAGAGATAGCATCAAAGAGCGAAGATGGGGTCATTATACAAAACCCATTGAAGAAGCATACGAACAACGAAAGAAGAAATAGCATCCAAAGATGACATCTAGCAGAAAGAGTAATTAATTGCGAGTGCAGCGAGTAAAAAGAAAGACTAGTAATCAACCAAATTTCTGTATGCCCCGCAACGAGGCAAGATGAGATTGAAATTGTGCACCTATGAATATAGGGGCAAACAAGGGAAGGTGCTGCGACAAGGAGGCTTTGTGATGGCTCTCCATGGCAGCAATAGCTTTTCCAAGGACACACTATAGCACAGAGGATATGGAGCACCATCGTGCATCGATGCTTGGAGCAAAGAAACAGTGGAGCCCCTATTTTCAGACATCGCCCACATAGTTCACACAATATGCAGCGCAATGCCCATCAGATTAAGGTCTCTGTGAAGAATGTGAGGCATTGCCAGACACACTGGCACTCGGAGGCTATTTGTGTGAGAGGGTCAGAAAACAGCACTCGTGAGAACGGAAGAAACATGATCCCACAACAGGGTCATTATACGAACTGTCGCCAATGATAGAGATATTCGTGCGGAAGGGCAAATGGGTACCTGCATCAAGACAGGGTCCTTGAACAAGCCTCTGCCAGTGATGGAGAGATATCATGACAGTTGTACGAACTCCCACCGGTAATTAAAGGATGGCAGTGAAAGGAAAGGCGTCTGCGACACCATCAACAGTTCGTCAACCAATAGGGAGAAGTCAGAAAGACAGGGTTTTTTAGCCACAGCGGCAATCACTTTCAGCCACCCGGCATGCCAGCCGTAACGTGCCACATGCTCGCCAATCACCGCAAATTAGCTAAGCCAACCCGGAGTATAGCCCCTGTCCAGACAGTTTGGCACTACTCATGACCAGTTACGGCTTTCTATAACCCTCTGTCATTTCCTCATTCTTCAGAAAGAATCGGGGAATGGAACACATGTTAAGCTATTTGGCATGCTTCATTGAGCCAAACAACTGGGGAAATGCCGGAAAAGATCTGATCTCTATGCTTTACTTGGCCAATCAGTCAAACTATTACTGGGCTTCAAAGCTTCAGGTCCAATTTCACCTTGAATGTGACTTTCATCGGCATCACTGTCCTCCATAAACATTTAAACTCGCACCCATTTCAATTGGTCTCCAGCTTTGCATCAAGCTTGCACCTGAACACAACACTTCTAACTTTCCTCGCAACATGCCCCTCAATCCGCTCAATGATGAGTCCAGGTTTCTTGCGGTATAAGATGCACGAGTAGCAGCAGTGAACATCGAGCAAACCGTGGAACAAATAGCCAAAGTCGAAAGGAGAGAAACCAATGATATCTTGGTGCTGAGTGCGTCTTTTATCCTACATTTTGCGATGCTTAACCCTTTTGAAAAGTGCTAAACGCGTTCGTTCCCATCCTCTGACCAAAACATGCCTCAATCAAGGGCTCAACCGACTGGCACAAACTCAATGTGTATCAGGGCCCTCCCATTCTGTATCCTCGTCTTCTCATACTGTGGCAGGTTCTACATGCATGCACACACACCTCCCTGCCCCTGCCTCAACTATCTACCACAACCTAGGCTCTTTATTCATTGCCTGCATGGAATACAATGCAATGGTTCATCCCTTCCCCAACTCGGCACCATCAATCTGTCCTCCTCCTCCACCCTGCAACCCCTCTGTGCTGTTACAAGTATGAAGGGAGGGTACTGCTGGCATTCTTGGATGCCATTCCCTGTTTTCACCCAGGTGCAGTTCGTTGTAATCACATCGCAGGCAGCTTGAGAATGGATTTATGCAGGGTGCTCTGTTCTTCAGCACTACAAGCAAATCATGCTTACTCTCCAAGTCTGAGTCTGGTTGAAGAGCCTCGATCATAGGAACCAAAAAGACAGATTCCTTTGTGGTGCCAGCACTTTTGCTTGGGGTCGAACCAAACAAAAGTGTCAAAGCATGAAAAACAGACACAGCGAACAAGTCTTGCACCTAGAATCCTTGTCGGCTCTCATCAGGTCCGAGTCGAAAATGGATAGGTTGTGACTGTTATGTGGCTTGGTTTCTTGAACTCATCCGTGTTCCCCATAAGCTTGGGCTCTACACCATATTCGTGTTGACATGACATCCAATTCATTCTCGCTTGTGCCAGGGAGCACAGTGCATATAATACTCTCACTGGCACTCTTCATCCCAGCTACATCTCACACGCACATCTTTTTCTGTCACCGTAAATGTAACCAGGCCGTCTCTCATGCGCCGTGGGTAATCCCCAAGGAGGAGAAACAGGTCGCCGGGTATGCGCTTTTTCTCCTGTTTTGTTTCGTACTAACATCCTCCCTCAAAGGCAAACACGTGTCAATTGAGAAGACCATGCAAGAATATCTTGGTGTGTACCAAACCATGGACCAGATTGCATGAGAAAACCAGTGATATCTTGATGCTGACTACCTGTTGCTATAACTAAACCTTTTAAAAAGCACTAAACACGTTTGTCCTCATCCTCAAATCCAAATGTGCATCACACCAAAACAGGCCAAGCAACCAGCACAACCTTGACATGTGCTACCCTCCCACTCTGTGGCCCAACACCACAATAACCGTCTTCTCATATGGCAACGGGTCCTACATGTCCCTGCCCTCATGTCCATCATCTACCACAACCTCAGCTCCTTCTTTGCCGAACGTGGATTAATCCCCACCTACTGCCTCATCGATTGGTGTACAGTTCCCTGGTGCAGTGCAAGACATTCTCTGTTCAGACTCTGATATCCACGTTCTAGGCCACTTGACCAGAGCGATGAACATGTTCACTATTTTCGCCCACCTGGAGCTGTGTTCCTGTTCCTGCATCCTTATATCAAACAACAGACCTCTCCGGGCCATACACTTTTGAAGCCAAAGTGAAGGATTCTATCAGCTGTATTATGGCAAAGACGCTGAGGCGATGCCCAAACTATGACCGTCTACTTATACATGACTGATGTATCTGGTGAAGAGGATGATTTCCAACAAAGAGGAAGGTCGGGAACAGTGACCAAGTGTCACTGGCTGAAGAAATGGAATAGACCCAGGTGTTCGGGAAGTTTCTCGACTGGCCAACAACAAGACGTGTGCTGCGATAGTGCCAGCTTGAGCTCCTCGTGCCTCATGTCGAGCTTGTAGTCCAAGAAGGTACTGCCAGCATTGTTAGAATCAGCTCTGTAGAGATACAGCTGTTATGCTGAGCTGTACAATAGTTTCATGTAAGTATCGTCGTACTGAAACTGGCACTTCAAGTTCCGCTTAATACTTGCAAGTTCAGTGAAAAATAACTGGTATGCCATGACAGCCCCAGGAATCCTTTCCTCCGATCTAGAGCTGTCAAAATGCATCTTTATGGGGCCTCTCTCGGCTCCAGATACCATCCATTTGGAAAAAAAAAGTCAAAGATACACAGCCGACATGAGCAAAATGGATCCCAACATCAACTGCGCTGTGATGCATGACCCGTGATACTTCAATGCCATCAGATTAAGTCGATGCACATATAAGGAATAACACTGAATCATCTTGAGATTTCACAACAATAGCTAATTTATGCCTGGTATTGTGTCTCAACATTTCTGCCACATCTTCCTGAGGAGGTCATTGGCTCCTTCGAAATTTTGAGGTGATAAGTAGTATCCAGTTCAAGGATATTAAGCTTCACCATAGATACCGGATGCTGTAAATGTGCTGTTTGACTAGTGACAATGATTCTGATCCCCGCTGAGCAGCATCGCCAATATGCTCAACCTACACAACTCGAACAAAAAAAAAGCTGTTAGTTCATCATCTACCCACTCTTCTGAATCCAGGGGCAGTTTTTGTAATTATTAGACTATCAACAAGATATGCTCTAGGTTCAGACACTGATTAAACAAGTATCATCACCAAAGGACCACAGCACGAGTAAGTTAATCCTCTCAACAGGCTACTCACAGTCACAATTGGCTATCGAACTGTTCAGAATACTACAGCACCGTCATCAATAGGCCACAGCACAGAAACGAATATGCCTCTCATAATCATATATTGTTACATAAGTTTTGTACATGCAACTCCCACAGCATGCACTGCTAGGAGTCTTCTAGGCAGTGCGGAGTAGTAGAGTATAATTCTGAATTTTTCACAGCAGTATCTGATAACACCTATACAAAGTGTCTTCCATCTGGTCTATCGACGTTCAATATCACTTCTACACATTGATTATTACTCCAGATCAACAAAAATGTCCATGACTACATGCAAATCCGACCTGATAGTATACCTACTCACTTCGATGATATCCCCAGCATGGTTTGCCACCCTCCTTGTCATCCTCCTCCCTAGCCATATTTCGTTGTATTTCAATCTCTCATCTTGGAAGCCGAGTACTGCCATTCAAGAGTTCGTCACCACCATTGACAAGGCAATGACTGTATTTAAGGAGCATAAGCATGTGCTTAGAGGGACAGAATTCAAGAGAAAGCTGCTACTGTATGATTACGCTGGCTCTGCACCTAGAAAACTATGCTGATATAAGCTGATATACTTAGGTTCAGGCTCGAGTTGCGCACCTTATCCCAACAACTCCGTGTCGCAGGTCATGCATTTTCCTGGTGGAACTGCCGCTCATGGCCAAAGCATATCTCTATGATGAAAAAGATTTTTGAGGAGGCCCAGAATGGTCAGCGAGAAGTCAAGGCTCTGAAAGGAGAGGTGGAGGTTAGCTCAGCATTATTGCTTTGTTCCCTACTACCATTTCAGCTGACGACAATATTCTCAGGATATCATATTTTCCGATGAGAGAGAGACGTTATGCTTGGAAGTCGAGATCATGCGGGATCCGGTAGGCACCAGTACAGAAGCACCTGAAGTACTTCGTTCCTCCAGCTTGTCATACCAAGTTTCATTGGCATGATGGGTCTGGACTTCTGCGTTATTGTCACCACTGCCACATCCCTGCTATAGGACCATGCATTTAACTTAATTTCTTGAGATTTCAGTCATTCCCATATCAAATTTCACCTACTCCCTAGTAAATTATGAGCACCCATACAAAGAGAGATAATACATTATCACCTGCATAGCCAAGTCTTGAAGGATCAGCATTCAGAGACATCTAGTTGCAAAGCCGTTCTCTACAACAGGATGCGCTTGAAAGTTGAGGTATGCTTCTGGATGCATGGAGAGGGCAGTTCCTGATGAGAATTGAGTGGACCGGACTTCCCGGAAATTGTTGAGTTGTGAGCTGCAATCAAACCAAATGCCTTCCCCAAGGTGCATTCATTCTTAACAAGCACCATAAAGCGACTGAGAGATCTGGACAGTTCCACTAATTGCGCAAGGTGCTAAAAAATCACTGCATGAACTACAAGTCTAATGGATAGCTTGACAGACTCACCTGGAATCAAAGTTTTTGGGAGGACGGTGTCTGTAACCCGTGTACCCTCTGTGCTTCAATTTGAAGGATCCCTTCCTTCCACTGTGCATGTTGACCATGGTCATGACTAGTGGATCCATAAGCATTGCACATAGGCAGCAATGGAACATACAGGGTTGACGCCTCTTGGAGGGGATACAAGTTTGAAAATCGGTCCCACAGCGTACTGTTGTACGAGTCGGAGGAACATTAGGATGTTAGGGTGACATCTGTCATAGGGTTAGTTACTTATACCTAACTGAGGCTGTTGCAGTAAAGGCTGTAACCTGATGTACACAGTTGCTGTTGTCCCATCACTGATGTGTGAATCATGGCAGGGTTCTGCTTGGTGGACAAGTGCATGGACTGCACATTTTTCGCAACATCTACATCCTTGAGAATCACAAAATCTGCGTTTGTCAAACACTCTCACAAGTAATAGTTACAAGGCTTTGAAACCATGTACTATTCTGTAGTAGCATAAGCCAGGTGGATCACAGCACTGCATTTGGATGATGAAACTTTGAGGCTCTGATGGGATCAAGGAATTTGGCACAGCAGGCACTTCTGGCAGGGGGATTTGAAATAAAAGTAGACCCCCAAGCCCTAATTATATAGCCATCAAATGAGCCTAACAGGCCTGCCTCACCATGATGTTTCCGCTGTGCGATCCATATCAGGCCAGCAGATCTGAGGGCATGCACAGATGGTCCCTACCAACATTCTACAACATTCGCATTTGGACCGTCGCCTGACATTCTGATGCTCTTCTCTGAAAGTATCCTGGTTCTGCTATTACTGTGGGCACGGGTTTATCAGTGAAATCCATCGATGAAGCATATCCAAAATGAAATTGCTACAGGGGTGTTCAACCTTGTAATATCTAATCCCTGTATAGGCATGGGGCCTCTTCACAGCATTCTAACTGATGTTTATATTTTGAGTGGGGGGTAGATAAATTATTATTCTTTGTACTGCTACATAGTAATCTATGTGAAGATACTGTTGAACTACCTTTTGGATGTAGATAATCATCAGGTATGATGGTCCCACTGTCGACTAAAGATGTTTTCTGAGGCTAAAATACCAGAGTGAGGCCATATAGCCAATATTGTGTACAATTGCCCTGTAAGCACAGGAATTAAATTGTACACAATTCTGTGAGGCCTGCAGGCCTGATAAGTATACACATGTATGAGAGCCTGGATCCAATCTAAATCCGCATTTTCTCAAATATTAGGCTCATTTCCCATTGGGATGGGCTAGAATCTTCCGTGGGGCCTTTCATAAAAATCTATAATTAGCCTGTAAAGTCAGCCCATCAATATCTGGCTGAAATCGGCTGGATGCGGCCAAATGATAGCATTATAGGGGCTATTTTCCAGTCAGAATAGGATTTAGGCTGGTTTCTGGGTGCTCAGTGGGTCAGGGAATGGCACTGGAATATTAATAAACACAAATAACATAAAAGCGGATCTACTGATGAGGTATGGGGGCTCTGGAGAGCATGTAATATAGGTATTTTCGCAAAAATGGCTACAATATTTGCTTTTTGGGGGGTTTTTAGGGTGATACATGCATTGGATCGACTGGGGGACTTCACCAATAAATTTCCTGACCTTGAAAACCCCCAAACGATCCCTCTATAGCACTTGTGGCACATTTTATTACTAGGATTAGACAAGCATATTGGATTTTTAGGGTGCAGCATGCTTTGGATTGCTCTGAAAACTATACCAGTCGATTTGTACACTATGAAAACCTTAGAATACATTGTCTTCTATAATATTTGACCTGTATAATACTGTAAAAAAGTGGGGATTGGGGTGCACATATGGTTTATTTTTTTTTCTATGCTTCGGATGAGTCTGGGACTATCACCAATAGATTCCTTGACATTTAAAACCCTAAAACGACTATAGGAACCTTTTATTGGGCTCCATAAACGATGGTAATAACAATATCACAGTTTAGGAGGAGCACATATGGAAAATCACTTTTCTGTACCTCGGAATACTTCAGAACTTCTACCAGTTTACTCCTTGACCTCAAAATCCCTCGTATAACACAAGGATTCGAAGAAAACCTACAAAAATACATGTTAAAAAAGAGTAATAGGGGATGGAGGAGATATACCTTGTATTACACATTTCTAGTGGTTGGAGAAGGTATTCCTGCTATATGAGAGACGATATATGCTGTATAATCATTTGTACAAATTCCCACATTCATCCGAACTATATTGGAAGAGATATAAGCAAATCATTCTGCAAATGATGAGGAGCACATCCCCAATTTCGATATTCTGATCATTCTATAGCTTGGGGAATGTCAGAATCGGATTCCTTGACCAAAAAAATGGTAGGATCACCAATAATCCATGGGAAGTCAAGTGTCAACACTCAGTAAATTCACTGATTTTGTTACAACAAAAAACATCATAGACGTTCACGCTGTTGCAACGTGTTACAACAATGTAATTTTTGTAATTACCGTCTAATACTAGTCTTTGAGGGCCATCACATTTGTGTGGCATTACCGAGTCCTATAAGGCTATAATCCAATGTTATTACCAATTATTCCAAGACTACAGGCTACTTCTACTAATCATTTGACACACCACAGTATCTCTCTGAGCCTCGCAGTCCACCCAGGATCGCCTCTTCCCATGCCCATCGAAAAAGATTCACTCGGTGGCGGCCGGAGACCAACTCACATTTTCTCACCTCGAAACCCATCAAAGAAGAGAGCTACTTGCTATAAACTTGGAGTAGGTGCAGGATCTACTCAGGCTTAATATCATGTCAAATTCGTGGATTTACAACACAGTTGATTATGCACTAATCTACTAAAACAGCCCTAAAACAATCCTCTGTAAGCTACATCAAAACACATTGAAAGGACACTTACTTGGGCTCGCTGCATGGCACAGGTCTCAGAATTTTGAACCTCAAATTTGAGGTATATTGAGGTAAAATTGATTGAATTCACAGTTCTATGCGAATTCAGTACAGTGTTTCAGCCTTGCTTGAGTCATGAGAAATTGTTTGGCTTTCTATGTTATGAATTTTGTGTATTTATGTAAATAAAATTGACAGATAGTTAGAACAACATCTAAGTCATACTGTCATAAAAAATTATGACCGTCTGAGCGTGTTCAACAATCATCTACCCATAAGCCATTGAAAAGAGAGCAAAACAGCCAAAACATCATCTTTGAGTCAGTGTGACTGGCTGTGACTGGGTATGTCTGGTGGCAAATTTGCATCCATGGGACCAATTACATACACCATCATTCTTCTTCTGATTCATCATTGTTGTCATCGCTCTTGTCGTCAAGATCCTGGATGGCTGCCTTCATCCAGTCAGCCTTCAACACACAAGATGGGCCTTTTGGAAGGTCCTTTACTCGCACTCTCTCCTCCCTCAGCCATTGACAGAGCTTCTCACGTTCAGCACTCTCTGAAGCTCGCTGTGTCTTGAATTCCTTCCACCACCTTTCCAGCTCTTCTTTCTGCTTCTTTGCATTCTCTTTCCACAGCCTTTTCTCCTGCCTCGTATTCTCCTGATTCTCCCAAGCCTTTCCAGCCTCTTCTACAGCATTCATAAACTCAGAGCCTGTTAGATGCCGGCCTTTCCCTTCCATGCTGACCTTTGTACTATTCTTTGGTCTTGGATTCTCCTTGGTGTTGAGGGCAAGACTCTGCTTCTCCACAAAGATGTTTTGGACAACCAACGTTGCGTGAGCTGATTCTATGATCCCATCCCTTGCAATGAGATGCTGATGTGCTAATGACATATCGTTTCGCAGATGCATGATTTCAGCTTTGAGTTGGCGCGGTGTTATTTCATCAATGTTAGGAACAAGAGCACCTGTTCCTCGTGCTCAGTCTGGCTGTGGTAGGTGCCTAGGAGGACCTTCAAGAATGGGTGGATCAATAGTGTGTCGTGATGTGATTTTGACAGTCGGTTGCACAAGGAAGCTACCAGACGATGTCAACGCAAGTGAGGTGGTCATCATTCTCATCTGTTTTGAAGGTGTGTACAAGCTTGCATCCATGGCAGGGTCCCTGATCTGCTGAACAGGTGTGCATGGCTGTGTCCTCATTCTATTTGTGGTTGGATCATAGAGTTGTGGGTCGATGTTGGGGTCATGATCATGCAATGGGGTGACAGCAGCAGGTCTCTGGTGGATCCTTGATGAAGATGGTGTGTGTGGCCATTGAGAAGACACCTATAGCTGCTACTTTGATGCATCAAACACTGTTAGTTGACAGTTAATTGTGATACATCAGGAGTGTCAATTTACATCCAGCCCATATACAGTAATTCCATCAGGATGACAAAGTGGCTTAGTAAGCTTCCCAATCTGTGTCAATGATGGCATCATTAGAAAAGAGGGCAATTCCGGGAATTGAACCCAGGACCTCAAAAATAAATCCTATAATATCACATGACTTTCTCAAGCAAGCATGCTAACCACTACACCATACTGACATTATATATATATCTTTTCATCTCTATATATACCCTCCCTCCCTTAACATTTATGACCTCATATTGATGCCCTCCCTTTGCTCCGCTCTAGTGCGCTCTTTTGCCTTTTTAGGCTCCCCAAATCAGCCCATCAATTTTGGCTGGATCCAGTGGCAGTGCCGCATTCTTAATACCCAAAATAGGGGCTATTTTCCGGTCAAAATAGCTATTGGGCTATTCTCAGGCTACTGGCTGGGCCAGGGGATGGCACTATAATCTGTATAGACATAAACAACATAAAATAGAGCCCTCTAATGATGCATAGGAGCCCTGGATAGTGGGATAAAAGGGTAATATAATGAAAATCGCATAAATATTCGCTTTTGGGGGCTGCTGCATGCATTTGATCGGCCGGAGGACTTCACCAATCGATTCCCTGACCTTGAAAACACCCAAACGACCCCTCCACAGTACTTTTGGCACACTTGATTCCTGGAGATAAACGAAAATATTCGCTTTTTAGGGTGCAGCATGCTCCAGATCGCTTTGAAAACATTACCAGTCGATTCCTATGCTATAAAAACCCTAGAATACATCCTCCTTCATAATATAGGTCCAGTATAATACAGTATAAAAGGGGGTATTAGAGGGCATACATCGCTTATTTTGTTTTTTGCACTTTGGATGGCCTGGAGAGCATCACCAATGGATTCCCTGATATTAAAAACCCCAAGACGACTCCAGCCTTCATTTATAGGGTCTCAAAAACGACAGAAATAATGATATTACAGTTTAGGAGGAGCACATGTAATAAATCCTATTTCTGGGCTTCGGACCACTTCGGAGTTTTGTCTATTGTGTTTATTGACCTGCAGTAGAGCCACTTATCATCCATAGGAGCCATTTTACCCAGATAACACATACAGCCATATGTAGCTACAGGACAATATAAGTGACAAATGAGAGAACATCTTGTACTTCGGAGTTTGAACATCTGAATACCATGGATGATAGGTGGCTCTACTGTTTTTTGGGTCAAGGAATCCGAATCTGATGATCCCCAGGCCATAGAATGAGCAGAACATCGAAATATGGGATGTGCTCCTCCTGTTTTACAGAATGATCTGCTCATATCTCATTCAATACATTTCGGATATCCATGGGGCTTCGTACACACCATTGTACAATATATATAGTCTGTTATATAACAAGAATACCCTCCCTAACTATTAGAAATGCAAAATATAAGGTATGTCTCCTCCATCCCCCTATTACTCTTTTTATCACGTATTTCTGATGGTTTCCTTTGTCCTGTGGGGTCATTTGAGTGTTATTCAGGTCAATAAACACAATAGACAAAACTCCGAAGTGGTCCGAAGCCCAGAAATAGGATTTATTACATGTGCTCCTCCTAAACTGTAATATCATTATTTCTGTCGTTTTTGAGACCCTATAAATGAAGGCTGGAGTCGTCTTGGGGTTTTTAATATCAGGGAATCCATTGGTGATGCTCTCCAGGCCATCCAAAGTGCAAAAAACAAAATAAGCGATGTATGCCCTCTAATACCCCCTTTTATACTGTATTATACTGGACCTATATTATGAAGGAGGATGTATTCTAGGGTTTTTATAGCATAGGAATCGACTGGTAATGTTTTCAAAGCGATCTGGAGCATGCTGCACCCTAAAAAGCGAATATTTTCGTTTATCTCCAGGAATCAAGTGTGCCAAAAGTACTGTGGAGGGGTCGTTTGGGTGTTTTCAAGGTCAGGGAATCGATTGGTGAAGTCCTCCGGCCGATCAAATGCATGCAGCAGCCCCCAAAAGCGAATATTTATGCGATTTTCATTATATTACCCTTTTATCCCACTATCCAGGGCTCCTATGCATCATTAGAGGGCTCTATTTTATGTTGTTTATGTCTATACAGATTATAGTGCCATCCCCTGGCCCAGCCAGTAGCCTGAGAATAGCCCAATAGCTATTTTGACCGGAAAATAGCCCCTATTTTGGGTATTAAGAATGCGGCACTGCCACTGGATCCAGCCAAAATTGATGGGCTGATTTGGGGAGCCTAAAAAGGCAAAAGAGCGCACTAGAGCGGAGCAAAGGGAGGGCATCAATATGAGGTCATAAATGTTAAGGGAGGGAGGGTATATATAGAGATGAAAAGATATATATATAATGTCAGTATGGTGTAGTGGTTAGCATGCTTGCTTGAGAAAGTCATGTGATATTATAGGATTTATTTTTGAGGTCCTGGGTTCAATTCCCGGAATTGCCCTCTTTTCTAATGATGCCATCATTGACACAGATTGGGAAGCTTACTAAGCCACTTTGTCATCCTGATGGAATTACTGTATATGGGCTGGATGTAAATTGACACTCCTGATGTATCACAATTAACTGTCAACTAACATCTTTCAAACAGAAATCTAGCAGACCAGGCTGCTGCATGTACTGGCAATGGCTGTGAAAGTGGGAATGACTCCTTGATGGAGGTAGGTTCACTTGGTCTCATTTGTCGTTCTGTAATAACTGTTGGATCATAGGGATGGATACCGGTAACACGAAATGCTGCTTTGATAGTTTTGGGATCGAACGCCTGCATATATGCTTGACCGAATAGATTGGTAAAGTCTCCCTTTGTTACTTTGTGCCAGTGATGATCCTCAAACTCATGGATGACCATCTTCCATGCAGTTTTCATCTTTGTGAAGCATACCACATCAAGGCCCTGAAGCGCATGGGTACAATGTGGTGGATAGCCCAGAACAATGATGTCATGCTCTTTTGCGTATGTGAGTAGGGCAAGTGTGTGGTGGGAATTGTGTCCATCAACGACTAGAACACGGGTATGTCCATTGGCTTTCTCTCTTGTTTTGGCGTCGAAATCTTTTTCCATCCAGGCTAGAGCGATCTTGCTATCAGTCCATCCATTAGGAGAAACACAGATCCTATTGATGTGTAAGTGAATGTCAGTGACTCCTTGAAGCAAATACGGCTCACGATGCATTCACAATATTATTCTCCCCCCATTTAGCCATCATATTCTGTCCTTTAAAAATAATTGTTGGGTGCAATGCTGTACCATCTGCGCAAATGGTAATAATAGCAGTGACATTCTCCCGGTCAGCACCACCTTGTCGATGTTGTGTTTTTGTCCCTCGTCGGCCTAGCACTCGCTGGGTGCCTTGGTCAGATGGTGGAAAACCGCTCTCATCCATACCGTAAATGTTTTCTGAGAGGATGTGCTGATCCACAAGAAACTCTTTTAGCAGCTTGAACCATTCCTTGACTGCGGTGGGATTGAGTGAGGCTGCCCATTGCATATCCAGAGGTTTGCTCCAAAGCACATGAATTTTGTCTCTGTGTCACATCATAAAATTGTCAATGCAGCTTGATTGCATGCCGACTTCCTCTCCACCTCTGCTTCTGACTACGTGATTCATTAGCTTGACCACATCACAATGTGTTAATGGAAATCCACGATCTGCTTGCAGGCCAATGTGCTCCACAATAACCGCTTCCTCTGCTGGTGTGATCTTCTGCTTGGTTGCATTGAAGGCTGACATAGACATGCCAATCCCTTTCATTCTACGACGGAAGCTTTCTTTGTCCACACCATGCTTTGATGCAATAGCACGCCAGCTGAGGCGCTTGTCTTTTGGTCATAGATCATTGGTCTGTGCCTCGGCAATCGCTTGATCCATTTTGGTATTCTTCTCCCACAAAGACTGCTGTCTTTGGGCTTTTTTAGAGAGAGCATGTCACACCATTGATGATATGGCACGTATGATGAATATGCTCTCTCTGTTGACTGGCATATTTTGGTCACATGATGTTATCTCTGTGACAAGCACAATTTTCTCTTAACAGCGAGCCACCATGGCGACAGGAAATGCAAAAGTGCAAGCTATCCTCACTGATAACAGAAAAGGTAGGTGTATGTTCCCTTCAGAATGTTAATCTTTCATTGATGAACATCTTTTTTCAGGTGAAGAATCTGCCTCGCTATCTGAAAATAACATGATGGCTCATGTTGCCGAGGCTGCCCAAATGTACGTAACTGCCTCTTACTTTCCTGTAGTTCTTTTAACATGTACCAAATTAGAGAGGATCCAGAATTCCATGAAAGCGCTAAGTGCAAGTGCAGTCATTCAGTCTCAAGCTCAGAAGCCAGCACAACCTCGAGTCAGCTTTCCTGGTATCCTCCGCCAGTCACTGAAGAGGCCTTCAAGCATCTGCTTATCTATGGACCTCTTGATGATGTTGATCAAGATCTTTTATGAGCTTATCATAAGCTCCATGATGCTGAAGAAGCATTTGCACTGCTCCTTGGCTTTCAAGGGTCTGGACCAGACTGCTGTCCCCATCTTGATGCAATGCAGCCATTTCACTGTATTGCCAGTCGCCATCATGATTGGCTTCACTTCAAGAAGCATGCAGGCGATGATATCAAGAATCCATTCAGAAAAGGTCCTGTCTTCCATTCCCCACCACATTCTCATCAAGAATATCAGCCGGTGGAGGATGCTGGTGATGCCTGGAAGGAATTGCGTTCAAGGTGGACAAAGGAGGCTGAGAATGCAGGCGATGATGACATGGGTGAGGCTTCCACAGACATGTCAGCGTGTCCTTAATTAGTTTCCATTTTGGGATGTCTAGCCTAAATGAGCATGGGTGTCACACTTTTATGATATGTTGGATTGTTTCTCAAAATCTGGTCCAGATTTTGGTCTAAATGTATCAATGTAAGTGACAAATTTATACATGAGAAGGTCGGCAACTTGTCTATAATATTTTTAGTACAATATAACTGCCATGACCAGCCCAAAACAGTGGACAAAAGTTAAAAAACTCAATTTGTGTGTCATAACTGACTCAATTGACCTGCCACACTCTGGCATCTGCACTGTTGATGAGGCTGGCTGTGGGCACCTGTGGAATAGTGAGCGGGCTAAAGGGCAAACCTCAAAAACCCACACACACACTCACACAACTACACAAACTACAATCACCCTCGTAAGTTCTAGGGGGAGCGATTATTTCTAATGCAATCCAACTATACTTCAATATCTCGAAGAGTTTCTCTTATTCCCCACGCTCTTAGCGAAGCTAAGCTTTCTCTAATGACCTCCTAAGTCTAGGAACTTTTTACAGGAAGGTCGTTCACTGGTGCGATGCAACCTTCAAGGCAGATTTGAGGTATAATACACAAGGGACACTGATCCCAACAGAAACAGAGGCAATACACGCCGAAACTTTAGTGAGCTCGCTAAAAGAACACCACAGGTAAGCACTGACTTAGCCCACTCGCTACACAACTGTATGTAGGGGTTCTCCAACTAACTCCCGCAGGTTATCTCAACTCAAGAACACTTCAGAAGTGCTCGGAAAACAGATTCAGAAACGGAACTTCGAACAGAACTGACACGGAACAGACTGAAACAGAACAGAACAGAACAGAACAGAACAGATCTCAGATTTCCACTTCAACACATTCTCCGAACAGACTTATCACACTCAACAGAACAGAAACAGCGTCACTGATTCGTATTCACTCTGACTAAGTTCTCAAAAGTCTTATCAAAAGGGTATCTCGTATTTCTCTGAGTGAGCTCGCTAATTCTACGCACAGCTCAAAGTCACAAACTGATCCTTTGTTACAGTACCGCCTTCAACACGTGCATGGGAACTCAGGGGCTCGAAACTTGCCTCTACCTACTGTAACCAGCCTACTTATACTACAGGGGAATTAGAATTACAAACGTCGCGCAGTACCCAGACTCCTACATGTGTAGCATGTTGCCACCGCCATCTTACTGAGCATCTGAGTCGGACTTCCCAGTTTTAGTCTCATTTCTATAGTGAGCTCGCTAAACGCGTGCCAAGAGGTGCTCTCCCGACACCCGCGGGCTCGTTCTCTAGTGACCGACAGGTCTAGGCACACAGAACTATCAGTTCTGGCATATGTCGTTCAGGACTTCTTTCTTGGATTCACAGAGGCTTCTCATAGACACGGCAACAAGTGAGTCTTCAAACAATGGGACTCAGAACAATGGAACGCGGGCTCGCAGACTTCAGCTGAAGCCCATTGCCCAAGCTCGTGCCGGTGATATCTGTCATCTCACTTAAGGATTTCCCCAGATTTTCAGGTACAGCGCGTCATGGTTAGCGAGCGTGCTAAGTGTTCTCAGTGTCAGTGCAATCTTCAAGGTTTTATCTAGCTCCCATGAGTATGCTTGTAAGTAAGAGCCTAAGGCATTGGGTATAGGGTTTGGCCTTCTCATCACACATGCCCATCAGGTACAGTGCTGTGACTAAGTCCTGTTTAGAATCCCGTTGCTTCTTATGCCATAAGTTATACTCCAGGTCATTGCACCGCGTAGCATTAGTGTCGACACATAGTTTTAGTCCGCTCGCTCACTATTTCTCAGTATGCATGTAAAACACTCTAGATTGCAAAATTACACGCGTAAATAGGCTGCAGTCGCAACACCGTTTGACTCAATATTTGGTACGTTTATGTATTCTAGGTATATAATCATATATATAAAGAGAATAAGGCCCCAGACCAAAATTGCGTGCAAAATATCAATATGACTCAAAGAAGGCTGATGACTCAAGCAAGGCTGAAACACTGTACCGAGAAAACAAACTTACGGGAGGATCCTTCTTCCTAATCTGTGGGCTTGCCACATGGTTTGAACCTCAGGAATTTGTGCCTTGAATTTCATGGATTTGACCTAAATTGACATGTGTGAGTCAACAAACCTGTATGATACAAGTCAGATTACCTGTGTCTGACATGCCAATTGTGCACTTTAGTGGGTTTCAAGTTCTGGGCAAAGTCAATGGCTCAGTGCTACAGATATGGACAATTATGAAAGCCTATTTATGGCAGGATTCTTCCTCACGACGAGTGGGCTCACCACACGGCTTCAACCTCAAGAGTTTTTGACTTTGATTTCGTTGTTTTTACCTCCCATTGAAATGCATCTCCAAATGGTCCCGAAATGATTAAAAAGCTCAGAGAAGTTAGATAGATAGTGACTTGCTTTTGCATCCTTCTCCTTCATGTGTTCATTGTGAAGCTAGTGACCGAGTATGAATCTGGTAGATCCTGCCAAAAGTCTAAACATGCAAGTTGTCAGTAACGTGAGAATGAGATTAAATCAAATGTACCTGCATGGTGATCCACTACCTGCGATGTTTTGCTCGCTGCAAGGCGTTGACCCCACAAATTTTGGGCTAAGAAGTGTCCTAAATAGTTCAAAATGGACAGCCCTGAAATCTTAAAGACGAACTTACCTCACTTGCAGGATGCTGAATCACTGATCTGTATACTCAAAGATATGCAAAACCTTAAGTTATCAGCATGCCAACGATGCAGCCCTCTTTCTCAATATATTGCGCAAAGCTTCAGAGTCAAAAAAAATCAGCCTAAAAATTTGTCCAAAAGTGAGTACAAGTGTAAGTGAAGAATATCCTAACAATGCACTTTACCTAGCTTGTGGGGTGTCGATACGTATAATCACTGTGATCTCGAGATCTAAATAGATGGATGTTGAGCCTGGCAGTGACAAAGAAAACGAAAAAATCAGGCACATACCTGGCGAAGAGAGTCAATCGTCTGCAAGGACAATAGCGGACAATGATGGAAGCGATGAAAGGTATAGGCATGGGAGTCGTATGCCACCGGCATGTGGGGTCATCACAGGCTAAGCTTGTTGGAAGCTCTTTGGCAGGGAGGTCCTTGCACCTCCCACAGAGACATCTCTTTCATAAGTCTATTCAGACCTATATTGTGATATGTTATCAAAATTAATTCACGAATTGACTTGAGGGATATGGAACTAGAGACAGTCCAGGCATGGTCCACGTAGTGGCAGTGCAATGCCTGTTGCTAATTGAAAAGCCACTGACGTGTAGGGGCTTTGTCTTGACCACAATCTCCTACCTGCACTCTACCACTACTAAGCAACAAGCGACTCCTTGTCGCTCGTCATATCCTCTACTATCGGCAACTCAAGAGACATCTACCCCTTCGACATCATCTCTCGATGAGGCCACCCTCGTTCTATTCATTGTTGCCACATCTTGGCTTGGTGGCACAAGGAAGGGCGCAATTGTAGATTGGGTGAGCGGCTATTACAGGCGTCTTTTAGAGGTATTATTTGCTTGGCAGTGATCATGGCGGTCGGACGTTGCTGCTCGTGCCCAAGCAAACTCAATTTACCCGTGGCGGTGGTTGCGTCGGACCACATTGCAAGCCGAAAATGAGATGTTGCAATGGATGGGCAGTGTTGCAATAAGAAGCAGGTATGGGATTGAAGGTTTTCTCTTTCTAAGTTACATACAATAAATTTCGTGTTACAACGCATTGCAACATGTAGAAGTAGCTTACATGCATTGTAACTATTGATAAATACACGAAATTATTGTGTTGTAATGCGTTGCAACAGGCTGAACATCTGAGACATTCTTGGGTTGCAACAAAACCCATAAAAAGTCAGCAACACTCTGAAGTACAATATGGACTTTCCTTGACAATTGCTGCAGTCTGATTTGTTCTTACCACTAGATGTTTTCTTGATGAAATGACCATGGATGATGGATGATCCTACCATTTTTTTGGTCAAGGAATCCGATTCTGACATTCCCCAAGCTATAGAATGATCAGAATATCGAAATTGGGGATGTGCTCCTCATCATTTGCAGAATGATTTGCTTATATCTCTTCCAATATAGTTCGGATGAATGTGGGAATTTGTACAAATGATTATACAGCATATATCGTCTCTCATATAGCAGGAATACCTTCTCCAACCACTAGAAATGTGTAATACAAGGTATATCTCCTCCATCCCCTATTACTCTTTTTTAACATGTATTTTTGTAGGTTTTCTTCGAATCCTTGTGTTATACGAGGGATTTTGAGGTCAAGGAGTAAACTGGTAGAAGTTCTGAAGTATTCCGAGGTACAGAAAAGTGATTTTCCATATGTGCTCCTCCTAAACTGTGATATTGTTATTACCATCGTTTATGGAGCCCAATAAAAGGTTCCTATAGTCGTTTTAGGGTTTTAAATGTCAAGGAATCTATTGGTGATAGTCCCAGACTCATCCGAAGCATAGAAAAAAAAATAAACCATATGTGCACCCCAATCCCCACTTTTTTACAGTATTATACAGGTCAAATATTATAGAAGACAATGTATTCTAAGGTTTTCATAGTGTACAAATCGACTGGTATAGTTTTCAGAGCAATCCAAAGCATGCTGCACCCTAAAAATCCAATATGCTTGTCTAATCCTAGTAATAAAATGTGCCACAAGTGCTATAGAGGGATCGTTTGGGGGTTTTCAAGGTCAGGAAATTTATTGGTGAAGTCCCCCAGTCGATCCAATGCATGTATCACCCTAAAAACCCCCCAAAAAGCAAATATTGTAGCCATTTTTGCGAAAATACCTATATTACATGCTCTCCAGAGCCCCCATACCTCATCAGTAGATCCGCTTTTATGTTATTTGTGTTTATTAATATTCCAGTGCCATTCCCTGACCCACTGAGCACCCAGAAACCAGCCTAAATCCTATTCTGACTGGAAAATAGCCCCTATAATGCTATCATTTGGCCGCATCCAGCCGATTTCAGCCAGATATTGATGGGCTGACTTTACAGGCTAATTATAGATTTTTATGAAAGGCCCCACGGAAGATTCTAGCCCATCCCAATGGGAAATGAGCCTAATATTTGAGAAAATGCGGATTTAGATTGGATCCAGGCTCTCATACATGTGTATACTTATCAGGCCTGCAGGCCTCACAGAATTGTGTACAATCTGATTCCTGAGCCTACAGGAAATTGTATACACAACTGGCCTTATGAGGTGCCAGAGTACCATCCAATATTAGCATACACTGCATTTCCCCATGCCACATGATTCAATACAGGTTCTGTTTGAGTCAAGTGCTTGTCATCTGAATTGACCTCTATGTATCCGCTGCCTGGAAGATCTTGAAACTCATAGGGACTGCTGTAGAAGGGGTCCATCTCACTGTCTTGAAGTGCAGAAGAGCCTGATACAGCACCGATTTGTCTGGTCATCACAGTCTGTCCAGTTGTCATAGTCTGCTTGTAAGCTGGATGTGGCCTTGGACACTCCCTGACATTCTCAGATAGTCCTGTTGATACATGGTGAGATGTTCTGCTGTGACAGAGGAGTGCAGCCATACCTTGGTTTGCCTTGTCTGGCTGGGACTGAGCTGTCCATATGTTGCCAATGTTGCCTTGGGCTGTTCAAGGTGCATTATCACTGTTAGTAGAAGTCTCAGTGATGTTCTGCGTACTTGGCACCACTGTGGCATTCTGCTTCTTGGCTCCATGGCTCTTCCTCTTCTTCTGTCCTTCAGGCTCGACATCAGTATCATTCACTGGTTCTTCGAATGCGACCCTCTTCTTGCCGAGCTTTGGGTCAGTGCCATCTTTCTGCTTGTTTGTATTCTAGGAATGAACCTATCTGAGCATCCATTGGACCTTTGCACATATACAGTACATTACCTTAGTATTCTGCCTTGTGTGCATTTGTTTGGAATCCATTGGAGCAGGCTTTGGTACTGCTGCTTGCACAGTCCAAGAGTGCGATGTCTCTATCTCTGCACAGTACACGCCTTCATGATATGTATTTGTACTGATATTTATAGCCATGCATACAAAGACGTATGCATTGGCATCTTGATGGCCGGTAGGGGCTTCTGTAAATGAGACTCAGTACAAAATAAGAGTAATGGTCTACTAAGTGGGATCATATGAGCTATTTGGATTTCTGAATCTTCAAGAGCCTTTGCGAAATGTATTCTCTGACTGTCAGTCAAAGATGATGCACTTTTGTTTAGATACATGAGATCCATTTTGTCATTGATAGGAAGCGGTACCATTGGTGGCCAGCCAGTGAGAATCATGTTGTGTTCCTGCAGTGATTTACCCAAATGTCTCCAGGGGCATGATCTGTAATCAGGATAGCCATCCTGTGTTATAGGCAGAGCATCTCCCCCACAAATTAGGACATCATGGTGCACTGTCAAGCCATTAAATGACACTTTTTCTTGGTGGAAATTCAGACTACTTACCCAGTAATGCACTAAAGTTGACAGTATAGGAAAGATGTGCCGATTTTGCATTATCTGGCCTGTACAGCTTGTAGGTTGAGAAAATCTCTCTTGCTTTGCCTGCATCCTTTGTGACAGTGGTCATAGCAGTGGGAGGTTCTTCATATGGTAGGAGAGCTTCACCATCAACAGAAGTGGGAATGTCAGAACCACTAGGACTTGTGATCTCCTGCTCATGCTGCAGCTCTCTCTGTTGATGCAAGCTGACTACACTGTCTGATTTCTGGTTTCTTTTTAATAATAATAATTATATTGCAATAGCATAATAGTATCTTGACTCACTGAACATATGCCCAAAGGTGTGTAGTGGCCCAATCATTTTTCAGATGTAGTTTCTGATCTGCAAACTAGTAGAGCCAATATTAGCTGTAGATACCCATGAAAAGAACACAGTACATACCCCTTTTGCAAGGCCGGTCTCATGGAATACTACCATGGAAGGTCCATTGTCCTTTGGATTAGTGCCAACAACAGCCATGATGGCCTCAAACCCATCCTGTTGAGCATGATATTCCAGCTGACAACCTATTATTAATAAGGACAAAGACAGACACCTCAAGACTTACCTGCTTTGCAAGCTCTTGAAATGTATTCTTGAAGACTGACTGGCACTTTCCACATGTTCTCTGCCCTGCATTGAGGTCCATAACTTTGGCATATTCTATGAGAATACCCTTCCACTCATCATTTGGGAAAGACTCCTTGAAATTGCTATAAGCCAGAGATGCTTGGTCTTGATCTCAAGACTCGTTGGAATGTTCCGCTTTGTACTTCACAAGGAAGACATTCCAGTACAACATTTTATGGGTGATAACAGTTGGGAATGCACAGTTGATAATGTGTGATGGTTGAATGGCAGCATTGATCTTTGTTGTCTTCTTGATAACTTGCCAGATCTGATTGGCAGCTTTCTCAATGTGAGAGACAGTCTCTGCCTGCAAACGACCAGTGCAATGGGGTTCAGACAATTCAGCTTCAACCCCTGAACGTGGTGAAGGCTTGTCTTCCACCTCAGATGCATTGTCAGGTAGTATGCCTGACTCTGTCGGAACATCCATCAGAACATCATTCAGTGCTTCAAAGCCATCACTGGTCTCTATGGAGGATGCCTCATCGTGAGCAGTGGAAGGATGAAGATAGGTGCCAGCTGGTGTACTTAGGACACTGGTGTTGAATGAGAACTGATTGAGGTTCCTAGTAGCTACTGGAGTTATAGGTGAAGGGGCTGTCACCTGAAGCATAGGCACAGCAGGCTGGCTTGGACTTTTAGAATGCCCAGCTACACCCTTCAATGGTTGGATGTTTCCATTAGCTATAAGCTGACCAGCAAGACTTGGGTAGGATGTTGCAAATGCTGTGGTAGAGCCCAAATCTGTAGGCCTTTCCATTGGTGGATGTTCCTGGGAGGTTCTGTGAGCAGTAGAATGACTGATGGAGGTGGCTGAAGATGGATGGGAGTGAGCATGGTAGTAGGGTGACTCAGACCATAGATATCCCAACTTCATTGGCCTTGCAGATGGCAGTTGTTGAACTGGTGGACCTGCAGATGAAGGTTGAGTGGATGGTAATGGGAGACCCTGCATACCAGCCTGTTCAAATACCAACTGCAAATGTTCAACTCTTTTTCTTCCAGAGAAATCAATTGGACAGATTTTATGTCCTTGTGGTGGTTGTTGAGGAAGTGGAGATGGAGAATCAGGGTCTCTGCATGCATCCATCTGCAATATCGACAGTGTACTGTCACTTGGCAGCAGAAACCTAATGGGATGTGGCAAAACCATCGTTCCATTGAAGATTGACTCATTTTGCTGATCTGAGAAGTGTTGTAGAACACTAGTGCCTTGCATGTTGGGAGGGTTTTGTGCAGAACTGGCCAGGGATATACAACAATGAGCATCACATCATCTCACAAGAGCAAAAAATTGCACCATAGTTTTCATTCAGATTCTGTCCCTCGTTCAGATTTCCAAGCAGTCTTGGTGCTACAGGTGAAGAGAAGAGTTCATCCTCCTCCCCAGCAAAGTGCTGTGTCACAATAGGTGGGTGCAAGAGGGTAGGTGGATGGTCATCCTCTAGGTCGATGCTTGCCTCAGGATCGTCATCTTCCTCCTGTTGCTCGGCCTGAGCATAGTATTCTTCCCTCAACATGAATTCTTGACCACTACCAGCAAATTCCTCCTCTTCTTCTTCATCCTCTGAAGGTGTTGGGATACTCTCATAGACCTTCACACTTTTACGAGGCCTGGATGTCTGAGATGCAAGCTGTCCCAAACTTCCAATAAAACCAGAAGGTGGACGAACGTCTTGCACAGCCTGCAATTGAGTCTGAGACTTTAATGTTAGGAGTCCATTGACTCATATTTCAGAGAAAAAAGATGCACAGAATGATTCATTTAGCTTTTAGCATACCAATCCTACTGTCTGCATAATGGAAAATGAGCCCCTCTTTTGTCTGATAGCTCAAATTAATTAGTAGCACACTTATGACACTGTTTTCCATTGAAACAAGAGCATTTTGCTGTCCTTTGAATAAGGCTTGGAAAAGTTGGAGAATGGAGTACAAATGAACGTCAAGGCGAACCTCCTTTTCTGACATTCGCTAACTGCCATTTAGGGTCATCAGTGAAAATTGCAAACGTCTGAGAGCATCTGGGTTGGCAATATCCAGGTGAGTATTTCTATACCCCTTTATTAGTTTCCACCATATTTCCTTGACCAGGTCTCGGGCACACCTAATAAGTAGACCAATCGATTCATAGACCTCTGCCTGTTCACAGATACCATTCTTTTCCAGCCTGTTCAGTCAATCTGTTAGTGTCTCGTACAACTCAATTTTGAACTAATCAGACTTACAATCCATATAGATTTCTCATTCAAGTCTAGTGTCTTCTGTAGCAACATAGCGAGACACTTGTAAGAGCTTCATAGAGTGCTATACATGGGCCAGAAACCAAAATACACCACTGAGGAGGACAGAATCAAGGCTCGTTGCCTATCTAAAGCTAAGTATAGAGCTAGTGAATGGTATGTCCACAACTGTGGTGAGACTCTTGCAGTGACTGATGCTGAGCAGAGGAAAAGAGAGCCAAAGAATGGAGAACCATAAGACCAGTAAATGCTGCTGTGGTCGGCAAGGAAGTTCACCTTGTTGTAGTCCCTGAGAGAGTTTGCCACACACACAACTTCTAGATTCGCTTGTATGTCAATGCCATTTGATAGATAGGTGTATTGCTGATGTTGGATCTTTTCTACAACAGACATTTAAGGATGCTCATGCATACTCGACAAGTCTGCAATGTCAAGAAGAACAAGTGAAAGGCAAGAGCTGTTATAGTCACTTAGCTTTCAGAGATTGGAATGAAGGCATAGCTGAGCTCACTAGGTCAATTGCAGAGATAGAGGCCTGCATATCAGAAGGTACAAGACAAGATACTACATGGAATAAGCTCCGTTTGCACTGTCTCCAGGTGGAGATACAAATATGCAATAGCGGTCCATTATTTCTAGATGAAGCGTACAACGAAAAGTGTCTACCATGGCAAAATCTATGATATATGTATAAAGCTTACTTATTCTGACATTGAATTCCATGTTGCGAGTGCTAAGACTATAGAGAGACAGTGGGTTCTGAACTTTGAGATGTCAGACTCTGTGATTGCTGTCTGTCAATGCCCACGAAGTACTGCACAGATCTGCAACAGCACCCAAATCCCACAATCATAACCATTATGCTGTATGGGCATGGCCTGTATATGTATGCAAGTTAGGGCAGCACTGGTAAATGAAAGAAGGCTCACAATCAATCTTGTCATGGTCCATGATGCCATACTTGAAGGTGGAAGTTTGTACCCTTGCTTCCTCGCACATGTGGTAATCATTCTGATGAAGCGAAGAACATCCTGCGATGCATCAGAACTTATCATTGGAACATCAGCAGTAGATATCCAGAACATACCTGAATGTCTCGCTCAGACTCAAGAGCATCAGTGAGGCTGTCAAACAGCTCAAGATCTTTTGTTGTAAGATTCACTGTGGCCACTGTCCAATGAACCTGATGTTTGTGGTGTATCGGAATGACCCATTGTGTGTACATCCAGAACTTGAGTTTATGTGTATACCTCCATATAGTCTCGGATTCTGACTGGTTCCTCAGGGCAGCAAGATCATACATTGAGAAGAGAACAGTTGAGGATTCCAGGAAGGCATCAGATAGCAATGCTGCACATCCATTCATCACGTCGTCATTCAGAAGTGCTGCAGAGGTATACAAATGCCATAAAGCATCCACATCAAACACAAGTTTGGTCCAATTCTTCTCCTTGCATTGTGGCTGATAACAAGCAATGTCTTTGGTCATGGGACACTCAGGAGAAGGAACATTGAATATAATATTGATATCTGAGTTGCTGTTTAAGCCAGACTTCCAAGGCTAGGGAATATTCCACATTCAGTCAACAGAATAAGACAGGTAAGTGGGAGAGAACTTATGGCACCCATGTTGCTTGCTTTGAATGTTACGGTTTATTCATTTTTCTTCGTTTTACTCAGCTTGATTACTCATATGCAATCATCACGGACACTCTCTCATGATACTATTATTAGTGTACCCAAGTGTATTTAAGTAGAGCCTCAGCTGGCTTAAACCCCAGCTTTGGCTAAGGTTTATTCTACCCAACTCAAAGCTCCCTGTTTCGTGACTATCTAAGTCCTCGATCGACTTACTCAAATCTCCTTTGACCTCTAAGAGCATCGTCCACCAAAGTGCAAGTGGCGATCCTTAGTTGATCTAAGTCGATTTAGTTGGTTGTTGACATTTAGCCGAAGCTTGTCTACACGTTGCCCAGCGCCACATCAGAGAACGAACACTGCCCAACGACTTCTAAGCTTTATTCCAAAACTCACATTGTGCTGCTCGTCGATGTTGTATGTTGATCAGCGCGCATTGTCGAGCATCAACTGTATTTGTTAGGATCGTGCCAATAGGATTGTGGCGGTAAGTGCACGTAGCAGAATGCCGCGGGATGCGTCAGGCGTAGGCGAAGCTATTAGCAATGTCACCCCTGAGCCGAAGCCCTAAGATGGATACGGACGGAAGTCCACGGAGTGGCAGGGACAAGGTAAGAGATAAGTCCAACGGATCAGAGTTCCACGGACTGGAGAACGAGAGTTAGACTTAGAGTTAGAGAGAGAGAGATTTGGCTGAACCAAGTTGATATTCGAACTGAGTATCTACAGTGTAATTCTAAGGCTTATATACTAGTTAGGAGTCCGATCTAGTTCCTACTTGGAGTGGTCTACATTCTAGGGTTGTCGGAGGATGTATTCTACCGGTCGGTGGCCGATGGGGTCCGATGACATGTTCGCTACCGATGTCGGGCTATTGATAAATTAATATGGAGAAGTGAAATATAAAATAGAATATGAAATGGAATATGAAATAGAAAGTGGGAATCAGGATCCGTAGGTTTCTGGGCTGTGGCTTGTTGGGTTGAGTGGAAGTCGGGTTTCCGTCGGCATGCTCGTTACAGTATCCCCCCCTTAGCATTCTTGCCCTCAAGGACGCAGATCCCGATGGCCGAGTGTGTCCGCGTGGAATTTTTTCTGGTTGGTCACGTGAGTTTTCAACTCTTGACCTGTAACCACCACCATCTCCGTGTCTTTCCCTAACTCCGTCATCAACATTTGCTATGTCTTCTAACGTTGAGTATCGTTTGTCCGTAACTCCCGAGCCCTATGAGCCTGCCCCGACACCTGACAATCTTCGCCCGGACGAACTAGAAGTTTTCTTCGATGAGCGGGATGCCGCGGAAAAAGCGAGGGAGGACGCCGCGGAGGCCCATGAAGCCTGGAAGGCGCAAAAGCTGAAGGAGGAGAAGAAACAGGCCCAGGAGTTGGAGCAGCGGGAGAAGAAGTTGGCACGGGAGAAGCGGGTTGCCGAAGCCAAGGCAAAAGAGGAGCAGGAGGAGCGGGAGGCCATGGAGAGGAAGCGACAAGAGGAAGAGGCGGAGGTGAAGCGATTGGAAGAAGAGGCAAGGGCTTTGGAGGAGAGGAAAACCGCAGAGAAGAAGTTAGCGGATGAGGCTAAGGCCAAGGCGTTGGAGGCTCGGAAGGCCGCGGAGGCCGAGAAGGAGCAGGCAAAGGAGAAGGAAGGTGGCAGTGGGGGGAGCAAGGTTGGTAGCGGGTCCGACGGAGATGACGAGCGGGAGAAGGACCCAAAGGGGAAGGCATTGAAAAAGTTGGTAAAGCAGAGGAAGGATAGGAAGGGTAAGGGTAAGGCGACGGATTCGGAGGCCGCAGGGAATTCAAAGAAGAGGAAGGCCAAGTCCAGTGCGGTGGTATTGAGTGGAGAGGAGGAAGTCGCAGGGCCATTGGGGCGGCCATTGAAGAAGTTGAAAACCAAGCCTGAGATGCAGGCGGATGACGAGGAATATAAGGATAATGGTAGGCTTCCCCGTGGGTTCCGACTGTTTTGCTGACTTGGTGCATAGAGCATTGTGGATGTTGTAAGGCAGACAATGTAAAATGTTTCATTTGCCGTGGGCGTACTTGCGAACGGTGCAAATTAAAGAAGAACAAGTGTGTGTTTCCACAAGGTGAAAGTTCAGGATCCGCGGGGTCCAGTGAGGTCATCGACCTCCTACAAAAACTTTGCGACAAGATGGACAATTTCCAGGAAGGCTTGGAAAGGGTAGAGGGAAAGGTGGATTTCCTCGGAAGCCGCATCGATGACTTGGTCGACGATTTTCATGAGGGTGATGCTCCGGAATGGCCATCGGATTTCGTCGAGGAGGAGTTTAGGGAGGAATGGGTGGCGTCTAAGGTCGAGCTAGGGAACCTCAAGAACGTGAACTCGGAGGCCCTACGGATCGCGATGCATATGCGACTTGACAAGGACGTTGCCCAGTTGTGGAATGCCCACGTGACGGGTACCAAAACCCTCGATGCCATGGATCCCTTCGAGGTCGCCAACATGCAAGTTTGGTACAGCTGCCTTGGGAAAGACGGTCTTTGATTGGCCATCAAACATCGCGACCATTTCTTGGACGCAAGGGACAAGTTCTATTCGCTCAGAGGCCGTCGGATTGAGTGGGCGTTGTGGAAGAGGTATTTGGAGGATGCGGATGAGTTTTTGGTAGAGGATTCCGAAGGGGAGTTGGATCCCGAGGAGAAGAAGAGGGATGAGATGTGCCCGGGCGCGGGTGCCATCAGCGTTCCGGCACTGGATGAGCTGGAGCTTATTGTTATGAGTGATGAGGAGCAGGAAGGAAGTGGAGGGGAAGATAGGGTGGACGAGGATGTGGTGATGGGAGAGTTGGTGCACGCGGAATCCTAGGCGCTCTTCTTGGACTTGTATATATTTTTTGGATGTTGTCTTGTACACGGATTTTGAAGCGTGGGCCCCAATGGGCATAAATATATATATATATCTTGGCTTGTAGGCTTGAGTGAGTAAGAGGGAGAAGGAAAGCAAGAAATAGGCATCCGATGGGTTCCGTTCCCAATTAGGAAGGTAATTTGCAATAGTTTTTCAGGATTTGATTTGAAATTCGAGGAGCGGAGACCGTAGGGAGCCGATAAGTTATGAGTAGGTCAAGAAGCAATGGGCGAGGGTTTGAGGGAGACTTTGTGGATGGTGACTTTGGATAGCGGTCCTGGCTTGTCTGGGTAACGTTGGTGGAAGTCTTTGATATATTCGTCCGCAGAGAATTCTGTAGTGGGGATCCAGGCAAACTCTTCATCGGTACCTTCATAACCCAACCATTGGACTCGGTATAGGAGTGGACAGCGGAACCGATGGTCGAGTTTAGAGTTGAGGATTTGAGAGATCTCATACTGTTCTTCACCGTCGACTTCAACTGGAGGTGGTGGAGGTTGGGTACGGTTAGGAATAGTATTGGTCTCCACAGGTTCAAGTTGGGAGACATGGAACACAGGGTGAATGGAGTGGAGGTCCGACGGGAGTTTGAGAGTGAAGGAATGGGATCCTGGCTGAGCAATGATATCGAATGGTCCTAGGAATTTTTCGGCAAATTTCGCAGTAGGGCGAGTAGTTCTGATATGTTTGGAACTGAGGTAGACTTTGTCACCTACTTTGAAGTCAGGAGCCAGGGACCACCGCTTGTCCGCTTGTATGTTGTAACAGGACTGAGCATAAGTGATTTCATCTCGAAGGAATTGGTGGAGCTCATCAAGGTTAACGATGTAGTCACGGGCCCGAGCGGAGGCGATGTCGCGTTCAGGATGTACGGTGATATTGGGATGATAGCCTTTGTTAGCAAAGAATGGGGAGATCCCGGTGGAAGCGTTGGGAGCGTTGTTGTAAGCAAACTCGGCAATGGGTAGTAAGGTATCCCAATTGTCTTGTTGATAGGAGCAGTAGATGCAGATGTACTGTTCCAGAGTTTGGTTAGCGCGTTCAGTTTGTCCGTCAGCCTCTGGGTGATATCCAGAAGTGAAGTGAAGCTCCATATCCAAGGCTTTGGCAAGAGTGTGAGTGAACTGGGAGACAAATTCGGAGCCACGGTCAGAGGTTATATGATTGGGGACGCCATGTTTAGCGAACACATGGTTAACGAATAACCGAGCGAGCTCTTCGGAGTTGATGGTGTCGTGGGTAGGAATGAAAATTGCTTGCTTACTTGCACGGTCGACCACTACAAGGATAGCAGTGAATCCGTTGGAATCCGGTAATTGTTCGATGAAGTCCATGGAGATGGAATCCCACGGGCATTCTGGGACCGGCAATGGTTTGAGTAGGCCAAAAGGGCGGTGTCTAGGTGTTTTGTTACATCCACAGGTAGTGCAAGATTTAATGTAGTGGCGAACGTATTCACGCATCTGTGGCCAGGTGTAATTCTGTCGGACGAGTTTGAGAGTCCTATTTTGACCAAAATGACCTGCCAAGATGTGGTCGTGATTGTTTTGGAGAATGCGAAGATGGAGATCATCGGAGTCCTGGGACATAAATGCGACTGTCAAGACGTAGTAGTCCTGATTCATCCACGGACCACCGAGAGGAGTTGGAAGGGGAAGATGCGAGTTGGAAGCCTTCGGTGGAAGCGGAATCCAACGGCTGTGCATTCTTGATATCAGAGTGGAGCTTGTCGATGTCCATGATAGCACTAGCACGTAAGACAGGACCTTCAAGGAATGTAGCGCGGAGTGAAGTGGAGAGTTGTTCTTGAGTGAAAACGGGTCGGAAATTGTGAGGATTGACTTGAGCATATTGACTATCCTCCTCTTTAGGGTAGATGTCCCATCGTCTAGTGAGGGCATCCGGTTTCCCACCAAGTTTACCCGGTCGGAACCGAATAACAAGGTTGAATTGGGAGAGGAATTCGGACCAGTGCACTTGAC